AAAGAAGAAGAAGAAGAAGAAGAAGAAGAAGAAGAAGAAGAAGAAGAAGAAGAAGAAGAAGAAGAAGAAGAAGAAGAAGAAGAAGAAGAAGAAGAAGAAGAAGAAGAATAAGAAGAAGAAGAAGAAGAAGCCGAAGCAGGGAGAAAACCAAAGGCGTGAAAGCTCATCGGAGGGAAAGAAGGAGATGTGGAAGAGGAAGAGGACGAGGAAGATAGAGCGAGCCAGCTTGAAAGGAATAAACGGAGCCCTTCCCAGGGCCGTAGCGAGAGAGGGAAGAAGGCCTTTTCGGTGAGAGTGCGTTGGCACACAGCTCCTGTGAGAGAAGCACAGCGAGGTGAGAACGGAGAGGCCGCTTTGCTCACCAAATGCGGGAAGGGGATTCCTGCCCGTGGAAAGAGGAGAGTGCTTTCTAGGAGGGCAAAAAAAAGAAGAGGAAGATTAAAGAGGGAAGAAGAGGAGAGGGATAAAGAGAGAGATCCTCAAGGAACAGATGTGCGGGCTTGTGGAAAGAATTGAGCTCAATGCAAGAACATAAGGCTGTGATATACGGAACCCTTTTTCTGACTGCGTTGCCTGGCTCTCCTTGCGGCTCGATTTTTCAACACAGCCTTTCGGCCATCGCCCAGAGAGAGCTTCTCGGCCAGGGGCTCAAAGCAGCTTGGTTCAGCGGCAGTGGACATCTGTGCACACCACGGGGTGATGCAGCGAAGATTCGCCGTCAGGTGGCGCGCAGGTGGTGCCTAATGAATTCTGAGTCCTCGGAGTCAACGGCCAGCTTCCGAGCTCAGTGCCCCGTCGAGCCGAATCGCAGGGCTGACCCTTTAAGGCCAGCGTCCCATTCACGAGAGTGGCGAACTCAGTTGAAGGGAAGTGTAGTTTTCGGCAAAATAGTATAATAATAATAATGATTATTATTATTAGTAGTAGTAGAAGAAGTAGTAGTAGTAGTAGTAGTAGTAGTAGTAGTAGTAGTAGTAGTAGTAGTAGTAGTAGTAGTAGTAGTAGTAGTAGTAGTAGCCATGCGTTCCGCGTGGGGCCTGGTACTTTCTCAGGTTGCTATGCCTAAAACATCGGTATTTACGACGCTTCCTGGCTTCGTTGCGTGCGAATGGACACTGCAATACCGTGCATGGTTATTTGCAGTGTTGCGTGCGCATGGAAGTGCTAAAACACCGGTATTTACGACACTTCGTGGCTTCGTTGCGTGCGAATGGCCAGGGCATCCATGTCTGCACGATGATAGCGTCCGTGTTATCAGAGCGTCCATGTCCGCGCGATGATAACGTCCATCCATACCAATTCCTGCCTTTCCCCTTCCCAAAAAAAGGGGGTTCGCGCATGCAGAGAGGCCAGGCGCCTGGGGGCGCGGTAGCCTAGTCCTAGTCGTCGTCGTGGTGGAAATGGTCGTGGTCGTGGTAGTGTTAAGACTCCTTGGGATGGGCAATTGTAAGATGGGCGAAGCCATTCCAGCCAGCTTACCTTATTGCCTGATCCAAACACAGGGAACGGATGCAGTTTTGTTCCCGGGAGTTGGAACAGGTTGCGCCGACAAACCACAACCATTCGAGCCATGGTCCTTTGCTCAGGGGGAGCAGAGCTTTGTTGGGGGTTCTAGCTTTCTGTGCTTTTTCTGTTAACGGAGTTCTCATGTCACGCCTCGCTTCAGGTGACCATGCACACGGCCAGCACATCCACGGCCCGCTAGATCGAGACAAGGTTGAGTTGCTGCAGTCGCATTACGTGGTGATCCTTTGAGCAGCCAGGCCCTGGGGATTGGCAGCTTAAGCTTCGAGCTGGCACCTTGGGAGCCGGATTTTGTGAGAGCCGTGAAGTCGAACCGGAGCACAGGCCGATCTTCAATGAGCGGTACAACAAAGATCGGGCGCGGGACGCAAGAGTGGGTTGCTTGAACGACAATGAGCGGCAGATCCGCATGGGTGCCAAGGTGGCCCAAGAGACGAAAGGGTTCCTTTTCTTGCAGCGAACGCTGCCGATCGTGTGGCTTGGAATCAAATTACTGGTGGGTGCAAGCAAGCAGTTTGCCAGTAGCTGATCAAGGATCGGACTGCTGACGGCTGGGGCAGCCTGGGTCGTTCCATCTTTGCAGCCAGTTCTTCGATCACTTCCACCCTGCTACTCCACAAAGTGCCCTCTGAATCTTGTGGTCGGGCAAGTGAGGTTGGTCTGGTAAGCGAATTTCTTGGATCGCACCGGACCGACATAGTGAACAGCACCATCGTCGGGTTCCTAGTTGCTGAATGATGGCCGCAACACAAGGAATGCTGCCGTAAGGTAGACATCCTAGGGGTGCCGTTTTAGCAAACGTTTGCAGGTCGAACACGGATGGTTCTGGGCATGGTGTGCAGGTCTGTGCCCTTGTCTCGCATTGTGTCGCATCGTGCCCCCCATTGTGTGTGGAGCATTGCCTGCGCAAGCAGCTATGCCGCTTTTGCCGTACACATGCGGCAACGATTGTCGATGCTGCCATGCTCAATGTCATTGTCGCAAAAATTCTGTGCGCAGAATTCTCCCTCATGACGCTCCTGGCTTTGGTCGGCGGCTTCTTCGTGTGCGCCGGGTTTCAAAGGGAGCGACACGGACATAAACAGACATCAACTGATCAACGGACTCTAAGAGATGTTAGAGAGATCCGAGGTACTGCGGCGACATCTCGGGAACAAAGACAGCCGGGCCACAGTCTCAGCACAGATTTTGCAGAAGCAGCTGCATACTGCTCGCGGCCGGCGGTAGGTGGCGCACGGATGCCCATTCCAGTTGGGTGTAGCAGTGTAGCATAGTGTAGCACGCACTTGCAGTCAGCATACGTTCTCCTGAAGACGTGGCACGGCCTCGCGTGTTTTTGCTCAGGAAAGCTGTCACCTAGCACAGCTTGTTTATCACTGCCTGAAGTGTAGATCTACGTAGAGTTGCTCCAAGTTGCTCCATGGCGCCTCCCTCGATTTGCGTGGCTGACTGCGTTTTCGGAAAACCCCAGGACGACAGCCCGAGAACACAGACGCCCACCTCTACGCGCAGCGTGCTCGAGGGCAGCACAAGCAACCAGACTGTCACAGGCAACAGTGCTCCAAGCCCCGCCATCTTTGGCATGAGCGGCAAGACTTCAGTACAGGAGGAGCAGAAGGCATCTGCATGCAGTGTTCCGACACCCCGTGTTGCGACGATCACATCTCTGCCCGTGCTTTTGGGACGATCCCTCGCAACTCCGCAGAATCGGGACGGTGATGCAGAAGCCTGTGCCCATGCAGCTCGTGAAGCCTTCTTGGCTAGGCAGGGGCGACGAGCCAACAGGTTCACTAACGTATTCCCATGAGGATCAGGCGCGTGATTTGATGTGATGTGCAAGTTTGCGTACGCCGGATGCACAGGTCCCGGCCCGCAGCGTGACATTTAGTGCACGTTTCTTTGAGTGCCGTTGTAGAAAACTGGCAGCTAATTCGAAAGAAGGCTTCGTGGCCTAAGCGTGCAACAGCCACGACCGGCTTGGAGTCATGGCCTGGCGGCCTACTCGCCTCACTCGCCTCCTTCAGGTTGCGAAGACATGTCGGAGCGCAAAAAAAAGCCCCAAAATCTTTGCGTGCGCCTCCGCGTTGCCGGGAACGGCTGAAGGCAAAGAGGCAGCTGGCACGGTCCTCTTCAGGTCCTCGGGCATTCCACAGCTCATTGGCCTGCTGAACGGCTGTGACTTGAAGGGCGAGTTCTCCTCCAGGACCGGAGACGCATGCTTCCGTAACAGTAAGATTACATTCCATTGCATCTTGTGCTGCTGCTGCTGCTGCTGCTGCTGCGGAGGCGCTGACGTCACTAGTAGTCTTGGGTGCACCATATACGCAGATGCCGTGGGCAGACTTGAGGATTGATTCGTGATTCCGCGGGTAGTTCGTCTCTCTTCTGAACTGTGTTTCAGGCACCTTCTGGTAAAGTGGTTCGGCGTGTGTTGTGCCGTGGCCTCCGGCTTGGCCGTGGGGCCAGAAGGGCCGATGATTTTCATCGGTGCCAAGCTCGGACTAGTCATCCGCACCCGTGCCTTCACCGCGTGACCAATGCCACTATGAGTCGAGGTGCCAGTATCGGGTACCTATGCTCCAGGCCCAGAGCAAGACGAGCAAGCTCTGTTCGGGGAAAAGGGTGCTTCAGTGAGTTGGAGCCATACTTGTGCTGCAAGTTCAGCTGTGGCGGAAGGTTGCCGCAGCATCCCACCGTTTGGCGTCTGCTGGGCACGCCACCAGCAACAGTGGGTCCTGACCTCAAAAAAAAACGGTTGCCTTTAGAGCACTTGGCAGGCAAGCCGGCAAGCCTCGAACAGAAACGAGACATTGACTCCCAAGCCAAGGTGACGATGTGTTTACGCGCGACTACACATCGATTGGTGCAGCTTGTGGCATTGCCGCGGCATTTCGCGCTCCGATCGCCGGCGGCACAGCTGGGGCAGAGTTTGGACTTGGATGGACAGAGGTGTTACTGACCTTGTAGCCGCATTGTGGCCATGAAGCGGGGGAGCCGCGTGGTCACGAGGCAGGAACTCTCTTCATCGTTGAGGAGGCAGCTTCACACTTCAAGAAGGAGCAGATGGCCAACATCTTCTTCGGAGGCGGGGGCGCTGTCAGGGTTTACGAATATCAGGCACCCCTAATGTAGACCCCTATTAGTCGGATTCCCTTATGAATAAGCAATGAGAACCCAAATAAGGCACCCCTAATTTCGGAATTGGGAAACCCCCATGTGCTCTTTTTTGTGGAGCCAGGCTTGGCAGCTCTGGAGGCCTGGCCCAGTTTGGAACACAGGGTTGATAAGGTTTAGAGCGGTAGGGTTTAGGGGAGTTCAGTCCAGTAGGGGAGTTCAGTCCAGTAGGGGAGTTCAGTCCAGGGGCACCAAAAAACAGAGTTAAGGGGGAGTGGTCGGGGGTTTGTTGCGGCAGATGCGGACGTTCCAGGTCATTCTCTTAACTGGCGGCGCTGGCGCCGTTCTGGAATACAAGGCTCGTCTGCCCTGCTTGCGGCAAATCGGGGCATGTCGGAAAATTATATACTTATAGTTGTTTAGTGAAGGGAATCCTGGCCTTCCTTAAGCACTTCCTTACAAGCCCAAAACAGGTTTAAAAAGGACCCTAAACCCTGAACATCCTGAACCTTGCGAGACGGGGGAAAAACATCCTGAACATCCCTGTGCCCTAAACCCTAACGCCCTGAAAGGTCCAAGTTGGCCCTGGCTGCAGCGACACACCTTCATGGCCGCATCCCCATTGTTCTAAACGCTAAACGGCTGTTCGGTTGTTGTCTCCTTTGCATCTCGCGGTATTTGGCGTTTTTGGGAGTGAGAGGAGCCTCCTCTTCTGCGTGGTCATCGGGCTTCTTTGCGGCGCCATGGGTGCCGCGTTCAACGCCTTGAACATCCAGGCAGCAGCCTCAAGCTGCTGCAACAGCCCGCACGTGACGCCCCGTGAGGCCATGATGTGGCGAGCGCGTTACTGCAGCGCCGCGAGGCGCGCGGCCCATATGTTGGCTGCATGTTCTCGCACGCGTTTGCTCCCACATGTTCCCACGTCCCAATTTTCTGGTCAGAGGCCGTTGCGGCGCGCCTTGGAGATCCTCGTCCTCTGCCTCCTGAGTTCCACAGCGTGCGGCCCTTCTTGCACTCTCGTTCCTTGCGGGTGCTCATGGGGTTTGAGTCAGGTGGCTGGGCATTGCCACTTTGTTCAGCGAGAGGGAAGTCGCGACCTCACCTCTCACCCTTGGAAGCGGCTTCGAGCTGAGACGATCGGAAGCCTCATCTGAATTTATGTCCCCGCATCTGAAGGCTTCCTCCTCAACCCTGTTCCCACAGAGCAACGGCTGCATCAAAGATGGCTATAGAAATCAGGCCAGAGATGCCGAGCGCAGCGGGTTTTGGGAGAAGTTACCTGAGCAATGCTCTCGTGGTTTTTTTGGCCGGCGAATCCTGGAAAGAGTGCCAGTGACGTGTTTGCTGCCAGATCATCACCGGCTCCGTGATCGAAAAAGACGAAAAGGGGGTGCATGTGGCGGTCCTCAGCTTCGATGTTCGAAGGTGTTAGTGCCGGTGTGCGACGTGCTGGTCTCAGTCATGAATGACAGGTCCAGCGTTATTTTCCTGCGCCGTGCTTGTATGGCAGTGGGCCTCAGCTCCCACATACGCTACATGTGGGGAGACGTCGCATGTCAGCGCCTGACGGGGCGGAGGCGTGCAGTACGGCAAAGTATGCAATGACGCGCCTTGGCAGCACTGGTACAGCAACAGAACGGAACCTGTAAGTCTGAACAACTTCGTCAACGAGGAGTTGAGGAAAGTGGTGGTAAGATGGTTGAAGTGCTTTGGATTCCGGGCCAATCATTGGCCCGGTTTGCCTTTCGAACTGGGCAGAATACTTGTGGTGTAGCAAGCGAGCTGCTGATCGAGTGTCAGTTAAGGTGTTTGGGTTTCTCATGTTTTGTTCGTTCTGCTTGAGCGGGGACATGCTCATCACTTGTTTTTCTTTGCAAGAATGCAACAAGTTTGCATACGTGCAGTCAACTGGACCGGTTCCATGTCAGCATGTCCACCGGGACTGCAGGTGCACGCAATGGCTGATAGCAACGCCTTTGCCAAGAGTTGCGTCGCGGCTGCCGTATCCCTAGCCGGGAAGATGGCATGTCACAAATTCTTAGCAGAATCAGAAAGTGCACAGTGGGCATTCGGCTGGAAGCTGCGTCAGATGATCATCAAGTGTTGCCGTTCTTGGGGTCAAAGGTGAACACTTCAGGCATGCAGAAACGGACAGACTTTGAGGCACGGTTGTCTCTCAGACATGCTCGAGCCACCGGGGCCAACCCACACCCTTTGACCTTCAGGACTATTGCTGCAGCTTCAGCAGCGTTGATGCCTTGAAAGCTGGGAACTTTGCCGTCAATGCCCCAGAGTTCTAGAGATGTCGCATCCGCAACTACAGTTGCGGCACAAACTGGTAGGTTGCCCCGTTTGCTTCTTGCGCCCGAGGTTCCGGGCAACTCTTCCTGTCCGATAGATCTCGGAGAGTTTGCGCCCAGTCTGAAGCGCAAGTCCTCCGGCCTCGCTGAGTCAGAGTCTGACGACACGATATCGAGCCCGGGCCTCTGAAGAACTCACCGTCCCGTTTGGGGTGGGGGGGAGGGTGCGCTGACACTGAGAGTGCCTGTTCTCGAATGGTGTGGTAGCAGTCGCTACTTGGAAGCTCAGGGTGCCTTTGATCCGAATCATAAATCTGTCTTTATAAACCCCTAAGTCCTACTTATAAGTAGACTCTTCTAGTGGGGTTATAAGTGCCCAATGAACCTCCAAGTAATGCGTACCGGCAGCGGTTTGATGCTGGTTCGGGGGCAAGTGGGTCGTTCCAAACACGCGTGTTGGAAGGAGTGCAAGCCGGTATCGTGGGCAAAACGATGCAACGAGGTTTTTTTGCTCGCGTGAGACCGGAAACAGGTTTTGGCCTGATGCAGCAGGAGCCATATCTTCAAACAGTTTGTCGCCGAAGAGCTCTCAAGACATGCTCGTCGCCAGAGTTGTTGATAGGGGAAAGAGAGGTGTAGTGCGTGCTTGGTTGGCTTCAGTGGTCACGTGTCCCAGGTCCTAAACCTAACCCTAAACCCTAAATCCTAACTTTACACTTTAAACCCTAAACCGTTTCCATCACCTTTAGGTTTGGGCATCCAACTGTGGGCTGCAGAGGGCACTTGCGGGTCCAACACGGCTGTGGGAGATGGTCTGAGAATCAAGTTGGGACGAGTCAGAAAGGCTTGGGCCGCAAACAACGTAAACATGCAAGCGATTCCCACGTGCACGCTGCTAGGTCTTTTGTGTCAACTTCGTGTCTGCCTCTGAAAAATCTCGAGGCTACAACTCTGTTGGCTTGCTGAGCCTGGTGCCCTTTAAGATCGCATGTCGGTGCCTGAGATCAGCTTGACAGTAGAAAGTCCAGGTAGGTTTCCAGTTGCTTGCCTTCCCCCCCCTCCACCCCCAGACCTGCAAGATACCATGTTTCCAGCCACTGGGGATGCCAGTTCCCGCATTAATCTGATGCGCCCATACCCGTTTAATCTTGCAGTTTTTGCGCCTGCATGGTAAGGCAAGGGCTGTGATATGGAATATGGAGTCTTGCCACAATAGCTCGGGAGGTTGCCTGGAGATATGAAGCAACATCTGGATCAGTACCGGCAGCTGCTGTAGGGCTAAGTAGTGGTAGTCAAGACACCATGCTTCGTCAGCAGCCAGTTGGGACAGAGTCAAACGTTCAGTGGCGGATAAAGTAGGTGTATGCAACTCGACACCATACTTGGAGGTTCGTGGTACTTAGTAACCAGTTATATATTATATCTGTATCTATGACCCACTTATAAGCCCCTTAAACCTCCAAGTACCGGCAAGCACGTAAGATGACAGCTGCGCACCAACTTTCCGACCAAGGTGCGCCACAAAATGCACAAAGAAGGGGATGCGTCGGAGATGTTAAGCCCAATACACGCTCTGATGAAGAATAGCCCTGTGCTTCAGAATGCTTATTGGCGAGTGAGGCTCCTTGTCAGTATTGGTGAGCGTGTCCTCTTGGGGGATGCTGGCAAGAGAGTCCCTACTTCATGGAAACCCTAAACATCCCTAAACTGAAAAACTCCCTCAAAGCACAGCGTGGCTTCGCAGGAGTTGAGAGGAGCGCTTTGTGAGATTGCACCTGCCCAGAGTTGAACACTACTGTTGTAGGGTGTTCGAACATGCGGGGCCCTGCGGCTGAGAAGTTGCTGCCAAGGCCAGAACCTCTTCGCCCGCGGGATGCCGTACTTGGCGGATGCCTCAATCGGGCGCACGGAAGCAAGTCTCGTGATCAGGAGTTGGAGCACATCTAGATCCACTAGGTTTCTCTAGATCAGCGAACAGCCATGGAGCCTTGAGGGACAGCCACAGGGCGGGTGCTCCGCCCACGTCTGCCCGAGATTCTAAGACAATCTGAGATGTCTCCCTGGAAGCGCTCAGAACTATCAGCCTAAGAGTGGGGCTCGGCCGCGGAAGAGCAAGCTTTTACCCCTTCGTTGTTTCCCCTGAGCGGGTGCCGCATTGTTGGGCAGGGACATCTCTGGATGTGTTGTTGAAGGGGTCGTTCATGATTCCTTTTGGGAGTGTGGCGAAGGCTTCTGCTTCCACTTTCCACGAACTCAATGCAGCTTCTGTAGCATAAGAATGCTCTTAGTGCTCAGCGCATGATGACAAGTCTGGCGCACGGCATCACTTCACTCAGCATTGCGAGGTTCCGGTTAATGCTATGGCGGCCTTCTTCGCCCGCTGCTTGGAAATTCATGCATATCCTTGCACCACGCCCACCATGGTTCGAATGTGTTTCGCCAACGACGCAGTAGAGCGGACCGAGGTGCTCTTCTTCATCCTGGCTGCAATCACCGCAGGGAGTTGGGCTCAGCTTCCTGCTCCTGGAGTATGTTGGCATTTAAATAGGGACGGGGGTCGACATTCAACGAATCTATCGGTAAATGCGCATGCGCTTAAGTTGTCTTCAAAGCCTTTTCAAACGGGGTGCGGCCGTTGTGTTATGGGTCGCCTTCTGTCTGATCACGTCCAAAACGCGCTTTATCAAGAATTGGTCCTCGGTAAAGACCCTCCTTCCGGTCATGCAGCGGCGACCATTCTCTTGGGCGGGGCATGAGTACAGCCGGAGCTGGGTGTCTGAGTCGAGCACATAGGTGTGGAGGGTGTGGTGGAGTGTGTGACTGCGGAAGGGCATCATAGGCTTGACCGACCAAGTAACACGGTGAGCCGGCGTGGCTAGGGACCGGGTAGAAGGCGGGAGGGAGGGAGAGGGAGGGAGAGGGAGAGAGGAGTGGGAGAGGGGAGTGGGAGGGCCTTCGAGAGAAAGACGGAGACGGAGGGCCTTCGGGAGGGAGACGGAGGGCCTTCGGGAGCGAAGCGTGGAAGGACGGGAGAAAGGAGTTGTTGGTCAGACCGATTGAAAAGGCCAAGCATGGTAGGTTGCCAAGTCGCAGCCAGGAGTGCTCAGCACGCGAACTAGTACTGCCACAACACCAGGTCCGCTATTCCATCAGGGATCCTGATGCCGCAAATGGCCCGGTGCTCAAAGCATGTTTACATCCTTTGGTCGTGAGCTGAAAGCTTGCATTTGCAGCGCAGGTGATTGGAGGTTTGATGGGGCGAATCTTCGCTGGCCGGCCAAGTTGAGCTTCACTAGGTTCAAAGGAGGGAAGCGCGTAAATGGCTTGAGTATGGTTGAGCTTCATTGCTAGTTCCGTGTGCGGCGTAAGGCCGTGGTCCTGATCAATGTGCAATCGGCGACGCTGCCGGGATCAGGACCGGCCCCCGACTCGTCTGTCCATGCGTAGCTGTGGTTTTGAGTGGCGCATGTCGAAGCTGCTCCAACTTGACTTTGCAGCATTGGAATTCAGAAACGTCGCACAACCCGTCACGTGTCCTACTAATAACTTCTACCAGCCTGCAGGAACGTCGTGGGCACAGCAGCGCAAAGCTCAGTCAGCATCAGCCATGTGTCCGAAGGATTTTGATAGCAGAATGCCGCTGGCGCGCGGTCGCTTCAGTGTCAGGTACACCGTTCTGTTCGGACCTGGAGGCTGTCCGGTATGTGCGAAGCTATGCTAATCCGAGAGGCAGCTGAACTTCTTCGACAGGTGTGTTCCCAAACGGGTCGTCTCTGACTTTGGAGCCGAACAACTTGCTGCTGGATCCAGGGCCCTGGTCTCAACATGGTCTCAATGTGTCCGGGGACTGGTGCTTTGCCCATCTTCCTTCTGTCATGAGCAGGATTGCAGCTTTGATGGGGGCTGCTGCATTCCTCGGAGGAAGTGGGCGAGTTCGAGCCTTCAGTGGAGGCCTGGAGGTTGTTTTGGGCTGGTCGCAAGAACTGTAGGTCACCCTCTTCACCACCGTCATGATGGTGGAAATTACTGGAGACCCAGCGCCTCGCTAGCACAACATAGCACAACAGACTGTTCTGACAGTTCGAGTCCAGGGCGGTGGGTCACCTGGCTCCACCATACTGTTTCTGTGCAACTCTTGTCAGGTGATGATCTTTCCTGTCGGTTTCGCGACGGTCTTCGCAGTGCTCGTGGGGAATCTGATCAATCATGGCCTGTACCACTCCTTGATTGATGCCTGGGCCGTATCCGTTGCACATGCGAGGACTCACAGGTCTCATTCATGTGTGGAAGCAGTCGGCAAAACAAAGCGTGCCCTCAGCACTTTCCGGAAGAAGCCGGGCGCGCACGCACGAATTCGCACACATTCTGTTTGGGCATCATCGCCGAACTGTGACGCCCAAGGTCCAGTCTACCCCATATCTGCCCGATACGTGGCAAGCAGATCAGCTGCCACCCGGAATTGTTGCTGGGAGCTTGGAAGCGATTGAGAATGGGCAGGTTGGCAAGTAACCTGTCACCTCAAATGCTAGCTTCCATCTCCTGCTAGAGCATGAGCTTGCGTGGTGGCAGTAGCGGCAGGACGGAGCCCGCTTGCCAATTTCCTTGAGGTTCGTGACATGATGCCGAAGAACAAGCCGATCGAAATCAAGCTGGATGGTGGTCGGCTGGGCATCAAAGATGCCCTCCAAGGTTCAGCCGGCACGTTCTAACGCCCTGGTGGGGGTTTTTGGGCCCTCAGGAACGGCGTGCCAGGGCCCTTGCCTCCGCGCATGCGTCGTTGAGATGTCAGGGAACAGTTTTACTGGCTTCCCCGTCGTGGATGCCAGACGGGTGGTTGTTGCCCTACTGCTGTTGACAACGACTACTTGGAGGTTCATGGTACTTATAAACCCCTTAAGTGCCCTAATATGGTTATAAGTACAGTTATGATATAACTGGTTAACAAGTACCATGAACCTCCAAGTAGGTTCTGATCTCACGTCAACATCAATGCCTCTCAGGTCGTGGGAATGGTCGACCGCAAGGATCTGGAGGCGGGTATTTACCAAACTCGGGGGGTAACCCCCGTTTTATACCCCAAGTAGAATCCAAGCCCTTGAAAGGGATCCCCAAAAAGGGTACCCCTGGTACCCCCTATGTTCGGAAACCCCGAGGTGACGCTTCGTAACCGCATCTTTCAGTCGGTCTTATCACCTGCCCAGAGAGCCCAATACTCCTTCATAAAGGAGTATACCTTCAATGATAAAGGGATCCTTAATTTAAGGAATATTCCTTAATTAAGGGGTATTGGGCCCTTTGGGTGTGCTGCACAGGAGCTGCTGGACCAAGATAATGAAATCACAGCTGACGAGCGCGGGCCTTGCGGTTGCGAAACTTCTCATTGATCCCCTGGCGCCTTAGGGATGAACAAGGGTTGGAATCGACAATCCACATGATTGCCATGACATGGGTGGGGGGATGGGTGGCTGGGGCTTTCTTGAACTGCTTCGGTTACTGAGTTTGAAGCGTCGCTCGAATCTGTATCCTGCCAGAGCCTCGGGACATCTCGGGACTCAAGTTTCGCAGCAAGAGGACACCGGGAGTTTCTACGAGGTCACTGTGCGGGAGAGTTTCCCGCTCCAGAGTGCCTACCAACTCTTCAAGAGCATGGACTGCCGAAGGGAAAGTCCTCCTGGTTCTTAGTAATGAGGGAATTAGGACCCCTGTATATACCCTTAAAGGGAGTATATGGCAGTATATGGGTACTAGGATACCTCATCCCCTCATTCCCTACTAAGAACCAGCCAGAAGCTGCATGATGCCTTATGCTGCTGGGCTGTTTGGGTACTGACCCTGCTCGCGGCAGGACATGAAAAACTTGGTTGTCGTAGATGACAACCATGCGCCGCTTGCGGCACAGCTGGCCTCATTTGTGCTGGGCAAGTCCCAGAAGTCCTAGCAGAACGGCATACTCATGATTTTAGATTCGGCTTGGCACCCTCACCAGCAACCTACGATTGCAGGTTATGACTCGATTTGCCTTCCTTGCTTGGCGAGTGGCCGACAGGCTGCTCGGGTCGGATGTCCTTTACATATGCTTTTGTTTAACTGACCGAGGGTTCGTTGCTGCCAGGATGGGGGATCGGATCCACGAGCTCCACGAGAGGGAACTGCAGAGGACCTGCAGCCGTTCATTGGGGGGGGGGGGGGGGGGTGTCTTTTGAGAAGCGACTGATGAGTTAAGAGACCACGCTTTCTTGCAAGAGGCGACGTGCTCGCCGAAGTGGCCTGGCGTGATATTGGTGGTTGCCGAGAAACACAGAGCTGACATGAAGCGAAATGAGCGTGCTGTCTTGCACCGATCGTCTTACTGTGGCAGGGTCGAGCCTCTCACCGACGAATGTATCATCCCACGTAGAGAGCAACAACGACGATGAGAGCCGAGCTTGATGCAACCTGGCCTGGCCATTGAGCGTGTTTTCGTGGGCCCTGACAGGGGTGTTGGCATGATGACCAAAGAGACCCCAAGTTCACCTCCCCCCTCTCCGTGGGCAAAGGAGTCAGCGACATTGTGAAATTCTTGGCCGCAGTCGTCTCATGCTGAAGGGCAGACTCTTACAGTGTTTGGCTCGCCGCGAACGCGGCATGCCGAGCACACTTGCCTTGCATCACGGCTTGATGTCCCAACGCTGGACATCGTGGCCCAGCTGCTAGCATCCTTGACTACTTCCATGCTCTTTCTTAGCTGCATCCATGCTGCAGAGGGCCTTTCTGCACATTGCTTATGAACTTGTTCCTCGTGTTTGCAAGCGGATCGATGGCAAGGGCATAGAAGGCTGTTCGGGACGCTGTGGTTAGATGCGAGAGTTTGCGAGTAAATGTTCTCAGGCAGACAACGCGACCATGTCGCGTTTCTGCTGATGAGCTGCAGATGCATGTTGCGGTTTTGCATGATGCGTAATTGACCAGTTGTGAGCACGCGTAGGGAGCAAAGGTAGGAAGAGAACCGAAGTAGAATGGAGTATACGCAGAGCCAGGCAATGCAGGGCTCGGTAGCAGTTGTCGCAACTCTGCCCACCACTGCTGCGATTGAGGGGTCTCCCAAACTGTTGCATGCATCAACGGCTCTGGCTGCTTGCGATGTTGAAGCCCCCCCAGTCCGGGATCGAGCATGAAGCGTACGGATTGTGAGCCGACAAAGTACTCGTACCTGCAACGGGTGTGATGGCCCTCTCCTTTCACAGGCTAACAGCATCATGCTACAGCAGCTTGTTGTGTCTTCATCTGCCTGCACGTTCTGCACGTGCAATGCTGGCCGGTTCCGGAGCGGTGCTGGATCAAGAAAGAACGCGTGCATGGATGTCCTGTGATTGCATGTCAGGGAAAGTGCCTGAGTTACGAAGCTCTGGTCCGATCCCAAAGAGTTGGACTTAGAATGCAGCTTAAAGCGACCCGGTTTCTCGAAGCACGCACCTGCAGCTACTGGGGATCAAACATGGGGAATGCTGTCTACGGTCAGGAAGAACCTGCCAGTGAACAGGAGTCGGGTTTTGCATTGCAACAGTTTACTCCTGCAACTTGTGTTTTGCTCGCCTTCTTGCCGCTTAGCCTTATTTTGCCTTGGCTGTAGAGTGGCTGTGGTCCTTCAGTGGATCCTCGCAGGACACCATCCGACAAGCGACGCCGAAAGTCTGAACAGGATGCAAGGCGGACTGCACAGATAGCAGCGTCCTGTTGTGCTCTGTCCCTCTGTTTGTGAAGACTGTCTACACCCGAGAAGCAACCTATAAAGTCGTACCTGAGCTCGTGCATGCCAGCAGATGACCTGTGTATGCTGCCAGGAATAGCTCTGCGATACTGAGATTTAGACAGAGCTTACAACGGCTGCTACTTCGACCGCACGTGGCACCCACCAGCTTCTTGAGCGGACACCCATACCTGGGGAATGCTCGGAATACTTGTGCGTGAGCAAAGGCGAGAGCTACCTTGGGTGACTCCGTCTGTTGTGCCCATTGACCTGTTCTTCTTTCGACGCATCTTCTCCAGGCTGGGGGAGAGGGCATTGGGGTTGCAAAAGGGGTTTCAGCTTGGACGGGGGTGGTCATGATTGCATGTGTCTCGTCGTGGTCAAAATCAGCCAAGGCTCTACAGCCACTGAGCGGCAGCAATGAGAGTCGCGTCTTGCGCTGCCTACCGCTGCCTGCAGAGGCTACATGCATCTGCCGAGGTCAACATGGCGACAGCCAAGGAGAAGTTCCGGTTAGTGTGTTTCAACGAAGTGTTGTTCGACTTTTCCGTTTGATGCAGATGGATCGGCAGGCCGCCTTGAAATCACTCCTCCAGTTATTCTAGTCACACCTGGCTGCGAAGACCGCTTGGGTCACCCGGGGGGGCTTTGGGCGGAGGCCGAAGAGTTCTCGGCGGATGAATACGACGTCGATGGTTCTGGCGCGGTTGGCTGGTATGAGTTTGTGACGGTCTGGCGAAAAGTCGATCCTTGGTCCCGCACTGGACCTTCCTTTTGACATCTCGTCGCCAAGGTATTCATGAACATTCGCCAACGGAGCAAATGCATTTGCTTCTTGCGTAGTTTCGCGCGCCTTGTGGGATTTCGACCTGCCAAAATCCCATTCTAAGGACGTCTCCGTGAAACTCTCACTTCCTGAGCGAGTTTTTGTGTTAATGGAAGAACCCACATCGTCCTTCGTGGGTGTCATGGCGAGCTGCCTGCCTGAAACTTAGCCCTACCCCTTGGGTGTCTGAGACCCTCCTCATCACGGTACCCGAGAAGCTTGATTCGATACCACCCTGTAGGTTCAGCCTGTTATCGAGGTCGCCGATTGTGTTCACCAATTCAGGTCACGGGATGCGCCAGGGGGCGCTTTTGAGCACTAACCCGCAAGTACGGATCAGCGAAACAACATTTCAGGTTGAAGATCGGCCAGGCAAGCTCATAGCATTCAGGACTCTAGATGCCGTCTTGACTTGCGATTTGCAGGCCTGGGATGGGCCTTCAGCCCATATCTGTTAATCCTGGTAGCTCAAAGCTTGATTGCTTGAAGCCCCCTAAACCCTAAAGTCGAAACTTCAGGCCTCAAGCCTACCTTCAAAGGCGCGACGAGCGAGAGGTAGTTTCCCAGTCCCCTGCACCAAGAAACCCAAACCCACTCAGCGCCCAGCTATTCGGGAGCGAAAAGCTAGAAAACCTTTCGCTCTCAACCCTAGAAATTGCCGAAAAACCCCAAAGTGGCCCTTACAAGGAAGAGTTCTTATTTTTTTTTTTTTGGGGGGGGGGGGGGGGTTCTTCTGCAAATAGTAGGAAACCTCTCGATGGAATCGATGCGGGGCTCATGAGTCCCCCCAGTTCTGGGTAGTGCGTCTGTAGGTCGACGCGTTTATCACATTGGGATCTATTGGGATCTCGCCTGTTACACCCCTTTGAATGTGCAGGCTAGTAGTGCCGGAGGCTGGTTTTCGAAAGGCTGCTTGGGTTGCTCCCTGTAGGTGGTTGAGGGAAGCTGCCTAGCTCAGCTTATCGGCATTTGTGTTGAGAACCGGGTTGGTCGGTATGCTACCGCATGAGCAAGTGTCTTCTCTCAACCCACCGTGAACTTTGTGCTACTAGCAGCAGTCCTGTCACCTTTCTCGTAATCGAAGCCTTGCCTGCTGCGCGAGAGAGGGCTGAAATGAACACGGGGGGACTTTACGATATTCTGTGTCCTTGCGAGCTTGCATTGCAACTGAGGTGCGCTCCTGAATGTCTTAATATTTCTCTCTTGCGTCGCAAGGCTGCATACACTCAATTTTTTCAGTTTTTGGACTTTCATGTGCCCGTTCGCTTCAGATGGTCGAGGATGCTTGCAAATGGCGTCTAGGAGTATTTCGATTGTGCAGCAGTAGGAGACAGCGGCATCTGCCTGGTTTGTTTCTGGTTTGCTTTGAGAGCAGTGGCTGGGGACTGTGTCCTTCGAGGTAGGTTTCATGATTGCGACCCTCCCGGAGATGAAAGAACATACATGCGACGGGTGCGAGCCGGAGCAGAGGAGGCGGAGTGCAAGATCGGTCGGCACGGGGGTGTGTGACAGAATGACACAGTGTCGAGTGAGCGACAGTGCGGCCACAATGCGTGCGTCACAGTAAGATTCGCTTTGCCAGACCTGTCTCGCGTGATTTGCTCAACCCCCGAGGGAGTTCCGAGCTTTTGAATCATTTTGCGTGGGTATCTTTGCGCTAGAGCTTCCCGGCAGCAAAGTGGCAGCCTGCAAGTGAGAAACTCAGCCTTTTGCACATGTTGTCCCAAACTTCGACCAGACTTCAGCTCTGGCGTGAGGTACATCGTGAGGGTGTGCTCTGCCCCCTTTACCAGAACTGAACTGTTACATTACGAGCAGTTCTTGGAGCACGTCACCGACAACCAGGTTCCCATCCTGATTGGCTGACTCGAACGTGGGTTTTGGGGTTTAGGATTTAGTTAGCCTGGGGGTTGCAACATGTGTAACGTGGAGACACCTCTCGCAATTCACCTTGTAGAATGCAGAAGCTGGAGAGCAGCGGTTTGTCCAGGTGAACTATACTCCATCTCGCTTTGTCCGTCTGATGCTCTTTGTCATACAGCCCATGAACCTCATCGACCTTTTTGAAGCTCAGCTGAGGGAATCCCGAAAACTCCCGAAAGCCACACCTCTGTGCAGCTGACGCTCCGCGCTCTGAGGTAATCATACCCTTCGTTGTTGAGTCTTCGTTGTACATCACGACGGCAAATTTCACCGTCTTGCGCGTGCTGCGCCTGACGCGATTATTTCGCCTGGTGAAGCTGGGCAAGTCCTTCGAGGTGCTACAGATCATTGGCAGAGTCTTTCACAAGTCCATCGCCATGTTCTGGGTTTTTGCTGTGAACTTGTCTCTGGCCATGTGCTTCTCTGCTGCGACGATCTACTTTGTGGAGGGTGGCGAGTGGGATGACGATGAGAAAACCTATTTGCGAACTGGCCATGATGGTAAAAAGTCTGAAACGCCCTTCCTCAGCATTCCGCACTCATTCTGGTGGGTTTTCGTCACATTCACCACAGTTGGTCAGTGGCTCAGTCGCTGCTTCGTTGCTCGAGGTGATTCCGGGATTTCATGTGAAGTTGTCCAGGGCCTGGGCAGTCTTGCATCCGCCTTTTTATGCGTATCCGGCGCCTGATTGGAGGCTCCACATCCCGGAACATCTAGCGGATCTAGCGCACAAGTGCCCTGTGCTCAGGATACGGCGATGTCGTCCCGGAGACCTTCTTAGGGAAGCTGATTGGGGCAAGTAGCATGCTTGTTGGCATCTTCGTTCTTGCATTGCCCATCAGCGTCATCTCGACGACATTTGGGGAAGTTTGGCACGAATGGAAGGAAGAACTTCGGCTAGAAGCCCAGTCACGCGAGGAGGATCTGAGGAGCGTGGAGCTGGCTCTGCAGATCATCGAGAACCGCACTCACCTCACCATCGAGCTCTATGACCACTCCGATCGCTATCCTCCCGAGTTTCTGGGCCAAGTGCAATACCGCACTCTTCCCCTTGACGTGCAGGAAACGGTCGAGTGTTCCGATGAGTCGTTTCAGCTCAAGTCGAGCTTCGGCCTGCAAAGAGCCCAAAGAAGACAGAGAGGTAAGCTCGCAACACCCTGAGACGTTGAAGTTCTGCTAAACTAAACAAATGCACAGTGCCGTCGCCTGGGGGGAGGGGGGTTTTGCGCGATATCACTCGAAGACCGAAGACAGATTTGGCAGACACACGCATGGGGTTTCGGATTGAGGCTCCGACGAAGGGTCTGCTTGTCCGAGCAAGGACGTCTGGGCATCCGAAGGCACTTTCCGAGAACACTTTCCCTGGCAAAGGCACTTTTCCTGGCAAAGGCACTTCCCGGAGTGAAGCCAGAATGTGTCAGAAGACACTTGCCGAGGAAACGTCGGGGGAAGGCGCCTCCTAATTAACCTTACACAAGAACAACATCCAAAACCTACTGTACAGGCTTTCAACCCTACCTCCTGCTGCTTGCGAGTGCGAGAGCTGAAACCCTGCCTCCAAACCATGCTGGCCTTATGTCAAGTTCCCCCCGCTCGTTCGCGCAGCTCGCGTGGTGGGAAATGGGGGTCAACAGCTCACGTGGCGTCACGAAGACACGTTGGCGTCCGGGACGTGGCGTCAGGAGCATGGCGTCAGAGGCCCACGTGGTGGGATGAAACTATGAGAAGGATTTCCTCGCTCTGGCACGGAGGAATGAAGATCACAAAGGGCCAGTCCAACATGAAATGCAACGCCAACTCTTAGAGTGCGCCGGCAAAAGGGGCGAGATAAATCGCTTGACCGCCTTGACCGCCTTGACCGCCTTGACCGTCTTGACCGTCTTGACCGTCTTGACCGTCTTGACCGTCTTGACCGTCTTGACCGTCTTGACCGTCTTGACCGTCTTGACCGTCTTGACCGTCCAAGACATCAAGAAGGTCGGCAGGGTCGGCCTTGGCCCCTACGTTTTGACTGTCGGGACCCTCTGTTCTCTGGAGAAGAGAATCCAGAGGGTCAAGAAGGAGCGTCAAGAAGGTAAGGGCGTCAAAACTGTCAAGGGCGTCAAGAAAGTCAAGAGGGTCAAGACGGTCAAGAGCGTCAAGACCATCATGACCGTCAAGAGCGTCAGGCGATTTAGGTGACTCCCACCCTTTTCTCCTTTGAGAAATTCTTTGTGGGCATTTCCCTTTTTAGTCCTTTTGGGTCCTTTTGCGAATCCTATGAATCCTTGGAATCGTTTGATCGTTCCTTCTTAGCCTCTTTACATTGCGCTTCCGAGGGTTCGTCGTCACTGTGCCTGCTTTGGGGTGAGGGGCTCTGCTCAAGTGAGGGATTTCCTTTCTGAGGTTCCTAGCACAATAATGATTATTGTACTTTTGGGGCATAGAAGGGGCCCCCCTACTTCGGGAAAGGTTTGACAACGGAAAAATGCACAGACAGGGATAGTGTCCCGTCAATGATGGATGACTCCTAGGTCGGATGAGGGGGGCCCTTAAAAGGGAACCCTTCTGAACCCTCTTCTGGCTCTCTCAAACAGGGACCTTATTCAGAGGGTCTCTATCCCCAAGGGTCCCCACCATCCTATCCCCTAGTGACTAAGGGGCATGGAAAAAGGTCAGGCGGAGCCTTGGCCGCACAGTCGTGGTAGCTGTCAGAGTGGTTGCTGAAGTGGGTGTTTCCCAAGAGAGGGGTACCCGCTTGTATACCCCAAATAGAACAGAATCCCCTTAAAGGGATCCCCACAAAAAGGGAAACCCTGTTTTCGGAACACCCCCCCAAGTCTTTTTCGTTGTTTGGCTTGTCGTACTTGTGTGGCCTGAGCATCTCGCGGAGCGTCTGCTACAGGAGCTGTCCCTTGGGGAAGTCGTCCTGGGATACACCTGGAAGCCTTCGGAGGAACAGGACATGTACAGATATTCTGGTACCCTCGAGGCGGGGTCAAACCAGTCCAGCCTCTTCCCGAACCATTCCAGCAAAATTCTTGTACTTCTTGATTGGGTCATGGCTGGATCACTCGAGAACGATGATGTAACTTGCAGATGCTTGCAGTGCCTCTCGCCTAGCTGGCGGCAAGACCTGAAGGCACCACAATGCCAGTCCAACTCAGCATCTTGGAGCTAGTGAACCATCAAGGCCCTCGCAAGGCCCCTATAGGGTTCAGAAGAGCGCCTAAGAGGTTTTCAGGCATGCAGACTCCAAGGAAGGGCCTCAGGGTAACAATTGCAATCACCACGGACCAGCAAAAATACATGGTTGCGGAAATGCTTTGTGAGTTCCCTAGATGAAAATCCAGGGGGTAGGGGTTGGGAAGTTCCCCCTTATACTAACAGCCCTTAGTGGGGATCATATTCCCCCCCTACTATGGTCCTTATTGAGGACTGTTAGTATAGGGGGGAACATCCCAGGGTAGGAGCACCTAGATGGTTGGGCGGAAGCAATATAAAGGTAAGCCGAGTCTGTGTAGAGGGATAGGGTTTAGGGTTTCGGGTTTAGGGTTTAGGGTTCAGAGTTTGGGGTTTAGGGTTAGGGTTTAGGGCCCTAAATCCTAAACTTTAGGGTTGTATATATATATATATCTATGTCTGGGGGTTCCTATGAACATGTTTCTTGGGATATGGGTGACCCTGGTCTTGAAAATCACTTAGACTGGGCCTGGCAAGCCGGAAGCCCTGTCAGGTCCGCATGCGTCGCGCTCAAGGCCTTCGGACTCAGCCAAATAGAAACCCTAAACCCTAAACCCTGAACCCTGAACCCTGAACCTTAAACCCTAAACCCTAAACCCGAAACCCTAAACCCCGCGCCGTGTTTCACGCTGGCGCCCGATATTCGCTCCTCGGAGATGGTGCTGCAGAAGCCCTAAACCCTAAAGCCGAAAGCCTAAACCCTAAAGCGTAAACCCTAACCCTAAACCCAAAACCTTTGTCTAAACCGTAAACCCGAAACCTAGTCGTCCCCTGAAATTGTCCGTGCCAGTGCTTTGTCTTGGCGGGTGGCACACAAACCTAAACCCTAAACGTGTTCTACATGCATGTGGCACACGATGTTACTTTTTTGGCTATGGGGGGGCTGATGGCCGGATCCTGCGGAGAAGTTGATGAGCGACGCAAACCCAACTAGGCCCCACATTGCTTGCTCGACTTGCAAGCCCCCCCCCCCCCAAAAAAAAAAAGGAATATGCGAACTTCAGCCCAGCTTCGGATAGTTAAGCGCTTCGCCTTCTCGTATGTGGAAACTTCATGTTATGCTCGTGGTCTGCGATTCTTTGTATCTTCAAAAAGATGGTCGAATCGGGTTGGCTTCCGCTGGCGCTTTGGGTATCTTGACCCGAACGCAACCTGCGCTCTGTGCAGGACTTCTGCCTAGCGACTGGAAGAAGCACGGGAAACGAAATGTGTATGCATTGGTTCGCTGCTGGCCCAAACCGCCGGAGTCACAAAGGTGCCTGGGACTCCAATGATCTATATAATCAAGATTCAGGCTGATTCAGGAATGAAAGTTTGGGGGCCTAGGAAAATATGGAAAAACCCTGCCTGAGCAGATGCATCCGAGGCTCGGACAAAGTTTCGATGTGACGTTCTACACGCGGATCGTGACGCTTGCCCAAAGAAGTCGATGCTGGAACGGGTGTCTCTTTACCATCTTGAGTCGTAGATGAAGAGTTGACAAATGATGATCCACCCATCCCCACCCTATTTGCGATGCTTTGAACGACATAGCCACCCTGAACCCTCTTGAAGAAAGGCTCCTGCAACAGTGAGAAGTCACAACTTAGGGATGCCACCCTCGATCCAGTTTGGGATGAGACCTTCGAGTTTGAGTTTGACTGGCCGTGTGACTGGAGACCTCAGAAGGAGCCGTCGCCGCCGCGCTTGAGTGCCTGGACCAAGCTGCGCTTTTCTGCTTGATTTTCACACATCGCACGGATGGCACCATTCATATGAATATCCGTCCCCGCACTCGTTGGCAGTGTAGAGAAATAAGGGAACTGCCACAAGACTGCCACTGTTCGGATGTCGGATGAGCACTCCATTATTGTCTATGAAGTCTAATTTCTGGGAAGGCCAGAGTGTGTGACTAGGCACTGCAAACCCAAGCTCATCATCTCAGGTACGCGCTTTCAGCAGGATTCGCCGATGACCCTGAGGAGGGACCCAGCAACATGCACCAGGTCCTCCATTGAAGTGTGCAGCTCTGTCAAGCGTGGGGCATGACAAGGAGAACAAACTCGTCCGCATCGCTGGCGTCGTCGCTGCGGAAGTCCCGGTCGCAGGCGCTGGCAGTTCGAGTGGGAAGCATGGAACGGCATGAAATGGCATGCGACAGCTCATGTGTGCTGCTGCGTTCACCTCTGTTTTTGGATCGCAGCATCCGTGTGCCATGTTTCAGCGCCCTCAGCCCTCATGGACCCAAACTGAGCCTTGATCTGCCTTTGCAGGTCCAGCGAGCCAACACAATTGCTGAGGTCTCGATTCTCCGAGAGGCCGAAGTAGGGGCCATTGCTTAGCGCAGTTGGGGCCTAGAAGTTTTGTGGGAGGAGACTCAGGACCTGAACGAGGTGCCGACACTGCGCCCAGACAATGACATGCGAGAGATAGTGGAGGCCCAGGCAGCAGAGCTACGGCAGTTGCGACACGAGGCACCCTGCGTCAGCTTGAGACGGGTGTGCATCAACCATGGAGTTTCGACGACAGCAAGTGCCACCATAATTCTGCCACCGCGCTTTCAGGTTGGGACTTTGTCGCGAACGATGGGGGACCTCCTTCCGCTTCTGCAAAGCCTGGCTGCCTTGCCAGATGCCGGAAGAAGCATCCCAGTAGCTGGTCACTCGGCGACTGCTAGACCATTTTCCGGCGCGTGCAATGTCGCTGAAGCATCAGAAAACATGAAACCCAAGCTCATGTGAGATGTGAACCCCAGGATCAAGGCCAGTGTCGAGGCCAGGATCGAGACCGGGATCGAGACCAGCGTCAGCGGGAAGATCTGCATCCAGGTCAGGATCCGTGTGCGCCAGTCCGCCACCAGTGGCCTTCTTTACACATCCGTCCACTCCTATGGTCGCACCTCCGATCATGCACGGCGGCGGGCAGACTGCTGGGCCTGCGACTGAGAGACCTCCGATTCCCACCATCCTGTACTGCGCAATTTCATGAAGAAATATTCTTACCTGGCATGCTTGCCAAGGGACTGGCTAGTCTCATCGACTGGCCCGGCATTGTGTGCTGGTCCGGATTGCATCAAACCCCTTGGTGGGGAGGATACATCTGATGACTGCGATCAGAGCCCCAAAACGTTGCTACTGAGCGGCAGCAGCAACGCTTGTTCAGTTATGCAGGCCCATGCCTCTTGCTAGTGGCTATGCATGCGCCGTCTCGCATGGATGCTTCTTCGTTTCCAAGCTGTAGAGAAGGGATTTTACGATGCGCCTCTTTGCTTCCTTCTTTTCAACTGTATCCTTTTTCCTTCCCCTTCCCGTTGTTGTTTTCCAAGGGTCTCCCTTCTAGTTCCCCAATCGGCATGATGCGTCTGTTGAAAAAGATGGTTCATGTTGCCTGCGGAGACAACGAATCTCGGAAAGGGGAAGTTCGCACATGTTACAGATGTCCCGCGTCTCCCCGGCGCGCTTTATGCGTTGTTGCAAAACCTCCTGACAGCAGCCTCCAGGTGGGATTTTAGGTTCCATTCTTGTCTCCCTTTTCGTCTCGTTGTCTCGCTTCTTGTCTCCCTTCTTGCGCCTGGAAGCCGTTCCATGAGACATGCCGCAGCACCCTGCAGAATTGTGACTCTTGCGTCCGTTCCATGCTTCTTATTCTCTCTTTATGTTCTCCTTCTTGCCCCCCCCCCCCCCCTCTTGAGTCCTCTTGAGTCCGAGAACCTGATGACGCTCCCCCCCTACAGAATCTGTTGGATCTCGCGTCTCGTTGTCAGCCGGGCACCGGATCGTGTTGATGTGCCCTGAAAATTGCTTATGGTTGTCTGTTTTTGTTTGCAGATGGGCTTTCTGGCTGGGAGGAATGAAGATTCTGGCCGGCCCCGGCCCTGCGGTGGGTTTAGTGTTTAGGGTTGCTGTTTGGGGCCAAGGCCAAGGCTGGTTTGTTTTCTTTTTCTTCTTTTGCTGGGTCTGGGCCGTTTCTTGCACTGAGGCGACTTCCTGGTTGTCCTGAGACTGAAGCTCCCACGGTCGCCGACTAGTGGGACTAGTAGGCCCGACACGAAGTCGCTGAATGATCTTCGGCCCCGATGTGTTTTCGAAAGAAAGTGGGGCCGACTCGGTGAGGTAACTCCCAGCACTTGCTGAAATTTGCAGAACAAGTGGTTTGTATACGTCGTGTCTGACGAACGGCTTGGCCCAGACGTTTCACCAAACCTATAGAATCTATGCGCCTATCGGGAAGAAGTTCAACGCTAGATAGTGGTGCATGAGTCAACCGATGTTTGCGGCATGGTTGAGATAGCTTCCCTGGAGGGTCTTCGAGAGTCAGCAGGCATACCCTTTCCAAGAAAGGCTGTGCCCTGAGCAGGTAGCAAGGGCTGGTGGGTGCCATTGGACAATCAAGCTGTCTGTGTCATAGGTTCTAGCGGTCACGGACAATGGCATCAAAGGCCCAAGGCATACTGCGTCTTCATTCCCTGGCACAGAGCTGTGGGCTGCGACCCTATGATCACTCACCTACGACAGAACGACACTCTGGAGCATGGATCTGGGCCGTTGGGTCTCTCTACTGCCTTAGCAGTTTGGAAGACAGATAGACGTAGGCAACCCGACAAAGCCGGACGCAGGAACAACGCGTGACCAATTGCGTCGATAGAAAGACAAAGGACCCGCAGCTGACGCGGCTTGAGAGGTCTGGTTCTGTGAGCGTGCATTTGCATGGAAGCCGTAGAATGACTAGGACGATACACGCAATTTCGAACTTGCTTTGGACAATGACCCCAAGATTCGCAACAGGCCGAGCGTCGGTCGGCGGGACACGAGGAGGTCCTAGGTGTGTTTTGCTCCAAGTGCCAGCCGCCCTTCGTGTTACTGGTGCGGGACATGTTGCGGTGGTTCACGAATCTTTCCCGTGTAGTCAGGCATGGCATGAGATCTAAACATGATTCGTGAGGTTGGGACAGGGCGTGCAACAGTTGCGCTCAGAACAGGCTTGAGCTTTGCAAAGCCAGTTCGTGACATGGTGCGAGTGCCAGAATGTTGAACAGGCGAGGCATGCCAGTGAGCTGAAGGAGAACTGTCGTGCCAAGACCTTGATGGAAACAGAATGGAAGCTGCAGTTGTGCTGCAGCGAGGAAGCCTGTGCACCGTGTGCTCAGGCGGAACAGAGGCGCGTGCGCCGCAGCCCTGGGTCGTTGCTACTTGTGGCTTGATTGTGTCATGCTCAACAATTGAAACAAACCAGTAGGTAAACAAGATGTAGACATGCAAAAAGCAGTCGAAATATTACGGTATATACACAGAGAGATACGGATACATACATAAATAAATAATTAGATAAATAAATAAATAAATATAGATGTAGATAAACAAAATAATTAAGTAAACAAACAAGCAAATAGCATACATATATATATTTATACATGTATATATATATATATATTATATTCTGTTATGTTCTATTCTATTGCATCATATTATATTATATGATATTTTATTATATTATATTGTACTTATACATACATATTACATATCTAAAGAAATGATTGATATATATATATATATATACATGTACATATTTGCATCATAGAAATTCTATATTCACATACATGCATCTTGTTTCTTGAGAATTGGTGTTTGGAAGAGTTGTCATGTCACATCATCTTCTAACAGGTCAGAGCATCAACGACTCACAGGCCCAGCACCTTGAGCAGCAACAACATATGGAGAGGTTGGGCCCTCATGCAGGGGTTTAGGGTTTAGGGTTTATATAGGGTTTAGGGTTTGGGGTTTAGGGTTTAGTGTGACGCGCGATTCAGCACGCCGACATGCAGTGCCTGAGCAAAGCCTCAGGCTGGAAAGCCGCATGGACACGGCCATCCAGGTGCTACAATCAAGACTGCGGCGGAAATTTGCAGTGCGTTTGCAGCTTGTTTTCGCTTGGAGGCCCTCACCTTCGAGTGCCAGACGCTGCACAAGTCTTTGCCCCGGATCACTCCTGCGCCTGTCAGCCCCTCAGGCAATCCCGGCCTGAACTTCACACATCTTTCACGGCTGTCAAGTCAGGCGTCCATGGCATCTGCTTGCCAAGTGGCCGAAGGAGACCTCGTTGTTAAATCGGTCGTCGGGGTGTGATCAGGGTGTGACTTGTAAACCTGGCATACCTCGCCTGAATGAGGAGCAGTGAGCGCTCGGCGGTCCTCCAGCAGGGGCCTCGTCGCTTCGGAATACTTCGGAGATCCGACCCTGGGAGTGACAGAGCCAGGCCTGCCTCCTCCGCAGCATCAAGAGTCATGACCCCATCCGGCCTTGCATTTCGAGTGCAATGCGAGGCGCAGGGGATGCTTTTGGCAGCAACTGAGGTTGCGAGGCCATGTCAACACCGACCCCACGCGCAAGACTAGCGAGGAAGCAGCATTTGTTGCAGCGAAGGCCTGGCCCTCCGCTGTGAGAGAATAGACTTTGGCCTGCTAGAGTCTGCTAGAGTGATTCGGTCTGCGATCCGTGCTTTGCCAGGCGAGGTCACATCACAGCCAGCGTTGCCCCAGCAGTCACAGCCACCGCAATCATCACAGCTCGCACAGCTCGCACGGCCACCACAATCAGCACATCCACCACAACCAATGCAACCCACACGGCGGGGCCATTGCATCTGCCGAGCAACACAAAGCACGGCAAAACCCAATAATGGGTGCTGATCGCAGCAACCAGTGCCAACTTCTCCACAGCTACCAGCCCAGCCAAGAGCAAAGGAGCAGCCACTTCCGACCTTTGGGCAATGCAGTGCATGGAGGGGCAGTTGGCCATCCTACGCAGCATGACTGCCTGAACCCACCGCAGCCACCACCGCAGCATGCCTGGGACGCTGCCCGGATGCCAGTGTCACAGGAATCTCCGAGCTTTACTGTCTGCAATGGTGGCAGCGGGGACCGAGCATGTCCTAGGCCGTTGTCCCCGCCAGCAAGTACGCCGCGTGTGGTACCGCCGCCAGCAGGCCCCTGCTCTTTCAAGCTCAATCAGCTCAATCCCGGAAGTGGAGTGCGACGCCTTTCCCAGGCCACTGCCAAGTTACAGGGCCTCCGGCAAGCCTTCCGAGGCCCCGGAACACCAGCTTCTCATGCTTCTCATGCCCCACGCGCCAGCGACGTGCCAGGGACTCGTCGGACTTCCCGCGCAGTCAGCACACTGACGTACAGCCTGGTGCTCAGCTCGACGGGTCTGGCCGGCATGCACCGCAATCCCTGCGCAAAGGTCTCATCATCCAGACCCGGATGTCATCAAGCGTTTAGAGGCCAGGACTGCGGCCTTGTTTTGGTTGGACTCCACGGCTTGCTTCATTCTTCAAGGCCTTGGAAGGCCGCTACAGGGAAGAGAAGAGAGGCATCGGGCCCTTTCACATTCTTTTGAAAAAGTGAAAGCCCACATCTCTTCTTTCTCGAGGCCACGAGTCTCCAATCGCTCCAAGCTCACCCAGCAGCCCGGGGAAGAGACTTGAGGCCTGGCATCCGAAACTCCTTGTTGTGTGATTCAGAAGTATACTTAGAAGGATCTCAATCTCGCAATGCTCAGCTTTGAGCAAAGGCCGCGCTCCCCGAGACGAGGGTCAGGACCTGGCAACGCCTTGTGCAAAGTTGGGTAGCGCTGCAATGGCAGTACATCTGGCTGCAGCATGGAAAGTGGAAGTAGGTTATGACAGTAGCAGCCGAGTGAGGTATATTGTTGCGCCGAAAAAAGGCAAGCGCTGATTCTTTCTGACACTTGGCTCGCAGGGCATGTAGATAGCGCCGCGTTGAGCGGCTAGTCACTTCAGAAGCCAGGCGGCCAGTGCCAGGACGGGGGCATCTGCTGCATTTTGAGGGGCAGGATCGAGTTGTGCGATTGCCCACCCGAGTTTTAAAGACTCTCCGGCCTATCCCCAAACAGCCCAAAGTACCCCTTGATTAAGGAAGATACCTTAAATCATATGAAGGATCCCTGTATCATTTAAGGTCTATTCCTTAAAAAAGTGGTATAAAGGGCTCTCTGGGTCCTTGAGGAGACAGGCCCGGCTGCCATGGCAGAAGACTATGTGGTGGCCACGCAGCAGACGATAGGCACTCTCATTTCCAAGCCGAAGATGGCTGACAAGTACCTCAAAAAGCCGCCCTTCAGGCTGGGCTGAAGTAAAGTCTCCAGAAACTGCGGGTTTGCTTGCAAAGTTGGCTCAGTGTCGGTGATGTGCGCCTGATCACGCCACATGTTGCAGGTTTCTGCATGACCTCGTCATGGAGGTTACGCGAACCACAGGCTTCGCCCAAGGACTCTATAACACGGAGGAGAGCGATGCAGAGCAGCTTAAGGAGAAGGGTGCCAAGCTGGACTTCCTGAACAAAGCCATCAGCGCGACCTGCTTTGCCCTTGGCGAGACCATTGACGTCTCTGCACCTTGGGCTTGCAATTCAGTCGAAACTCGCAAGCTTCTGAGTTTTGCTGTCCGATGCTTCTACGTTTGGTCCATGGCTGAGGCGAGCAAGATTGTGGCCGGACTGGAGCCAGAGAAGACAAACGCATGGCTTGTCAAGCTCCATCAGGCTGCCACCAGCTGCGTCGGCGAGAAGTCCGAAGCAGCGGTGCAGCGCGTGCTGAGCGGCGAACTCATCGGCGCAGCCAAGGAGAAGAAGAAGAAGCCTAAGGAAGAGGGCGCACCAGGCGCACCTCCACCTCCACCCGAGGGCCCGGCTGAGGAAGCCCCAGCAGCACCTTCGGCCGATGATGAAGCCAAGAAAGAGGAGGAGCGCAAGAGGCGAGCTGAGAAGAAAAAGCGTGAGGAGGAAAGGAAGCGCAAGGAGGCCGAGGCTGCAGCCGCTGCTGCAGCCGCTGCAGAACCTGAGCAGCCTCCCCCTGAACCCCCAGCCCCTCCACAAGACGACGAAGAGGAGAGGAAGAAAGAAGAGAAGCGTCGAAAGGAGGAGGAGCGCAAGCGTCGCAAGGAGGAAGAGAAGCGGCGATTGCAGGACGACCCATGTAGGCTAGTGTGGGCCATAGGCAAGGCTCCAAGAATCTATGAGGCAGCGAAGCCAGTCAGCAAGTGGAACCCCAACAACTCAGAGGTGGGTAGTACCGCGTAGCAGCTACTGTAGCAGTTCAATGTGCTCGAGGTGGTAGGGCGGCAGCATGCTCATTAGTGCCCACCTCCCATTCCCCAGGTTGTGCTTCGTATGACATTGCAAGGCCATTTTCCTCGGTGTGATTGAGGGCGGTGCTCATGACAGCTGATTCGGGTCTTTATTTGACAAAATCTGTTCTTCCACCTGGCTGCTTGCAGAGTGTTTGTATGGCTGCCTTTCGCTGCGGTTCTTTGTTGCTGCGAGGAGGAAGAGCAGCGCCGGCAGGAGGAAGCAGCGGAGGCAGCGCGTGAGGAGGAGCGCCGAGCAGCCGAAGAGGCCCAAGCCGCCATGGCCCACGCGGGCATGCAAGATGACGGCTTTCAGGATGCCCCGCCTGCTCCGCCGGGTGCCCTCTCAGAAGGTCCGGCTTCCGGGCCAGATGAGATCGCCCAGCGTGCTCAGGAGATGCTTGCACAACAGAGGGCCGCAGACGGCCGGCCACGCACAGCCGGACGCAAGCCTCCCAAAGTAACCTCCAAGGTTACCACCACCGAGCAGTCAACCGCTCCGACAAACGTGCCGGCGCCAGTGGTAATAACCGAGGGTGCAGCAGAGGAGGAGGAGGACATGTTCGAAGCGGGCGGAGCTCCGCCGGGGGCCCCGCCTCCCCCACCGCCTCCAACAGATGACGGAGGGCAGCACGGCGCCCTGGTCAGCGATCTCCTGGCAGAGAAGCGAAAAGAGGAGGAGCGAGAGAGGCTCAAGAAGGAAGAGGAGGACACTCGCGAGGAGTTTGATGACGGCACCAAGGGCATCAAGATGAAGCTCCGCCGGAAGAAGGACACCGGCAGTGCTATGGTCGAAGTGGATCCTGTTAAGCTCGGCGAGGCTATCCAAAGCTTGTGCCAAGCAGCCAACCCTCTTGGCAAATCGATCGATCTGGTGCACCAGGACATTGCCAACATGGGGAAGGAGCTGGACCATTGGAAGCAGGAGTACCGTGAAGCGAGTGAGGCCTACGGCCAACAACTCAAGATGACAGAGGATCTTTTGCAACCGCTCTACCAGAAGATCGCGGAACTAGACGACAAGATTGCAGAGCAGCAAGCAAAGATCCGAAACAGCAGATCCCGCATCTCCAAGAATGACTTGAAAGTCCAGCAGCTGCTGGAGTCTGTGGTTATGGTGAGATAGCTTCTAGGCATGGCTGTACAGATGCAAGTCGCCACAGCTTCACTTCTCATCGTCAATCCCTTTGCAGTCCCAGCAAGAATCGCTAAAAAACATACATCCACAAAAGTCCTCTGGGTTCACGCAGTTGAGCGCGGGGGCTGTGTGATGAATGAGACTTGTCACCCTGGCTGCAGACGCCCAAACTGCACCGAAGTTGCTTCTGCTTGACTTGTGCATGCTGCTTCCACCCGACGGCGGTGGAGAATCCGAGACTCGAACTGAACATTCCGAAAAAGATGAGCGCCTGGGTTTGTTTACACGCAAGAACTGTGAGCCGTAAAGTCGACCCAGAACCTTCTGACGAGACAAACTTGGGAGAAAGAGTGCCCAGAGAAGACACGTCGTCCTAGTAGTGCTCCTTTGCTGTAACGCGCAGGTACCCACTGTCTGTAAGCCGCAGTGACCATGCACCGCAGTGGAGCCATGCTGCCAGGATGAATGGCGCCAGTGTGGCGCAGGGGTCGCAGCCTCGTGGTTCAAGCTGCGCTCCCGAGGCAGCGCCTTGTGCGATGGGCCACGCGTGCAACTCAGGTGTGGGCTGACTCCTCCGGCTGGTCTGACCATGGAGTCCGCCCCCCAGGAATCGAAGAGCATTGCTGAGCCTCGCAGCTGTGCTCGCGGCCTGATTTTGCCCATGTCTTGAACGACTACCAAGCAGGTCTGTGATGCTGGGTCCGCATGCTGGCCTGACCCCAGTGGTTGGTGCCCCAGGGTGGCGTAAGTCTATCACGAGCATGCTGGTGCTGGAAAGAAGCGCCGTGCCTTCGGCAAGTTTCCCCTGCGCTAAACAGGTGACGGGAGGCGTCTGGGCAACGCCAGATCCACCCTGGAAAGCGCATCAGCAGGACGGCTGGTACTCCCGCTTTGACTTTCTGAGTTTCTGGCTCTCGGAAGAATATAGGCTGCACAAGCCTGCACCACACTCCCTGGTCATCCACACCTGCCACTTGCAGGCATCTTCTGTGCCTAGCGCTTCCCCATGGTCGAAACCCGAGTCGATGCAAATGTCTTTGAGGGAGGTCATGCGCGGTAACATCTGGCACGGCGGTTTACCAGCTTACGTGGTTTTGGAATTTCCCACAGGCAAGCCAAACTCGGCAAAGTTAAAGTTAAAGACTTCCTTGCTTTCAGATAGCACGGGTCGCTGGCACTGCCGGGTGCAAGAGTTGTAGGTCAGCCCATGTCCGCTCGATGCGGGGGGCACGATTTTGTGTCCTTTCAACGGAGTTAAGCGCCTAAGCGCCCTCACGTATATGCCTTCTCGGACCCGACTCTGCCTGAAGCCCACAAAGCCCCAACAGAAGCCATGCAGGGTGGTTCCCGCACTCCCTCCTCCACCGTCTCCAAGGACTCCCAGGCCCAGCACCCACCTGGGAAGGTCACAAGAATCGGTAGAGGTGTTCCTGAGTGTTCCCTTCCGAGAGCTCGCTCCCTCTCTCTTCTCTCGCGGACCGTGGCGTGTGGGAGGTTGGGCTAAGGAAACCTTCCGGCTAGGGGGGGGGGGGTTCACCACGAACTGCACAACTCGATCAGTGGCCAAGTTTGTGCCACAGCAATGCTTACAGGTCATGTAGGTCGCGCATCCAGATGCAGGCCAATGACAGCTGCAGAGACTGGCCAAGCAATGGAAAACAGTCCGGACAAGGCCATGGGTTGCTGTCATGCGTTGTTTCGCTGGTGGTATGGGCCAGCTGTTCCCTTAGCGTGCCTGGTTGCAGCAGGCTTCTGCAGCCCCCGGGTTGGGCGTGGAGGCCAATTGTGTAGCTGTGGCATTTTGGGATCTTGGGAGCTGTTCTGTGGAAGTCGTGGAAGATCGTGGAAGGCCGTCTCTGTCCCTCGAGGGCTGAGCCAGTCGGGAGCTCAACATGTGTGGAATTCAGACTCGTGAAGTTAAAGCCATGTCCACTTGGCCTGCGCTTTCCTTTGACTAAGGCCCTCCCCAAGTAGTCCCCCTCTGCCTTGGTTCGGGAACTCAGCTGTCATGGTCATGACGTGGTGATGATATGCTAAGATTTCCCGAGGTCACCCATCGGCGGATCCCTGACAACAGGCATCCAGCAACCCTGCCGGTTCCTCTAAGCCATTTGAGTGCCAATGAGTGACTGAGTGACATTACAGCATATGACGCCCGCATATCATGTTCGGGCGGGCTTAGGTCATGACCAAAGCCCTCCCAGCAGTGGACCAAGACACCGGGTCTTCTGTAGCATCGGTGCAGCACTGTGCCAGAACATCACCGCATTCATCGCTATCAGGCCCGCGGTTGGAGAGCCCATCGCTTCAGCTACTGGGACATGGAGAGGGGCTCGAGGGGAAGGCATGGGAGGCGTAGAGAGTTGCCGAAGTGCGAGGTCAGCGACACCGCTTCCAGCTTTCTCACTTCGGCTTCCAGCACCGCCTGGCGAGCCGGCCTTGTGTGTTGCGCATCCGTTGTCCAATTGAACTTCAGTCAACTTGCCAGAATATCTAGGTGCGGATCATCAAGGGGGCCTCAATGATTAGAAAAGGGTTCTGGGGATATTCCACCCTGTCTTGAAACATCAAGGTATGGAGGTTGCACCCGGAGCCACTCTAAACCCTAAACCCTAAACCCTAAACCGCTTACGCCAGTGTGAGAGTCGAAACCCTAAACCCTAAACCCTAAACCCGAAACCCTAAACCCTAAACCCTAAACCCCAAAACCGTGTGAAATTGCCCCCTTCAGGCAGCCTGATGGGGCGGGCATGCTTCGCCTGACTCTGCCAGGGGGGGTTTCCAGGGGTCTTAGGGCGACCAAGGCGATGCTTCTTGGGCTCCCCTTGGGGATTAGCAGCAGGGTATTAGTATAATGCATAATGTATATATATATATATACATATATATATATGTGTGTGTATATATATGTATATGCGTATTTCTTTTTAGATTGCTTTGCGTTCTGGCTGTCTATACAGGGAGAGGACAGAAAGATTTCTGAACCAAGTGTACTTAACAAGTACATCGACGAGATTCTGCGAACCAGGGGACTCTGAGCCGTCTCACTGTGCCAATGCCCCGTCGACCCAGCCCACATGCATCTCTCTTCGTGGAAGCTTTCCATGCCCATAGCTTTGGGGATCTGTCGGCATGTGCCGTAGAAGCAATGCCCTGTATTGATTTTGCCAGTGCAGGGAAGCTGTCGTCAGTGCAGGCAATATTCCACCGAGTGCTGCAGCAGCGGGCGAGGGTCAGTTTCATACTCGCTGGCATTCGACGGAGTCGTCGCAGGGCTAGGTCAGATAGTCCCTGTGCATGATGTGCCGCGCAAAGAATTTACCGCGGCGCCAGCTAGAAAACGTCGACAATGCCATCACGCATGCTTCCGTCGCTACCTGTGTCAGGGGCAAGGCAGGCGAGCTTACACCAATAGTGCTGGGTAGACTTCGTGACTGTATGTTCTGAACAAGTATTTGTGCTAACGTTTGGCTCAGACTGGTCGCGCCCTTGGATGTTAGACTTTGCTGATGACCGTCGTGAAGAACTTAGTCGCAATACCGTTGCATACGAGTATTTCCTGCTGTGATGGCTTGCGCTTGGCCCCGAGTCATTACCCATCGCTCGGGAGATCCTGACCGATGCAGCTCAAGCACAGGCCACGGCCTCAACGATTTGTCGCTTGCAACCGGTTTCCGGACCCTTCATAGCTTGAGAGTCATGACAAAATCACCATTGCTGTGACGGTTGCCGCGTGATGCTGTCTGTTAACATAATCGCAGCAACCCTTGTCATGCTTAGCAGTTGGGATGTCCCCCCTTGTACCAACACTTCTTTTTGGGATTATGATAGGGGGTAGTATAATCCCTATTAAGGACTGCTTGTACAAGGGGGAAAATCCCAACTTAGCAGCTGAGCACTTAGCAGCTTAGCTGGTAAATCTACTGTCCCGATTGAAACAACCCAGGTTCAAGCTTGGGACGAGCGCTTTGGAACCTCACCGGCCCCTCAGCGTGAGCAATCTGTATGTAGACGTGGCAAGACACCCTGAAAGAGATGCACAGAGTGCTTCGGATGTGGGAGTTAACAAAGCAGCCGCTTTGAGCACGGCTGGTGCGATGCTGCACTCGAGTTGACCTGCTTCCTTTGCTGCAGGCTTCCAGCCAAACCGTGAATGCCAAGGCACCAGCAACCATGTCATTGAACCAGCTTTACAGTCCTCGCACCACTAGCAGCATGAAGCCCCAGGCCCAAACCGAAGCCTTTGCAAAGAGAGATGCCACTGGCGTGGAGGCCTGTCTGACATGGTTCATGGTGCTTGTAGAAGGTGTCGAAGCCTCCAACAGGCAGTCCATGATGTCATGCCGACGGAAAAGGATATCTTTGAAGAATTCCTTTCGGAGGCTGTTCGGCTGTTCTTGAGCAGCACGCAACTGGCATTGTCGCACGCGGCGAATCCACTTGTCGATTTAGGATGGCTTGTGCTCTGTGTTGCACAGGCGGCTGCCATGTCGACTGCGGACAGGTTGCATGCGGGCTGGCTCAGCTGCCCTGCTCACCCTCGCCTTGATGAAGTTCTGATTCACATGTGTATATATATATATATATATCTACATGACATGTGTGTGTGTGTGTTTATGTTGCATGAAGATTTATATGCATGTGTGAATTATATTAATATGTGAAATATACATGAATACATGAACCCACATACATATGTATGAATGTATGTATGTGCGTATGTGCTTATATGTATATGTATATATGTATATGTATATATATATATATATATCTATACACATATCAGAGATCCTTGCCTGCCTGCGAGGTGTTGGATTTTGGTTGCGGAGACGGACGCTATTTGCAGCGGCCTTCTCGGCAAGCTTTGTCTTGGCCTTCCATGAGTACGCATCACGACGTATGTCTACTACAATACACTGCATTTTCTACATTACAGCATCACGTTCTGCATAAGCATACGCATATATAGTACATCCCGCCTTTGGCCGTTTCTTTCGTGCGGGACTTGCCGAGGCAGTTCTTACGCAGCGCAGAGGCTCCCACCCTCTCATGGAGCTTCTTCTTCCGTTGCCCGGTGTGGCGGGTTTAGGGTTTAGGGTTTAGGGTTTAGGGTTTAGGCGCTGTCACCTTGGGTTGCTTCAGGCCATTCAGCCCCGGGGAAAAATTCTGCGGGTCGTGGCCTACGAAGTCTCGGTGCGGACTCCTGGAGCTTATATCCCGGTCCATGTACCTACATAGCATACACTTGGGCCTTAAAGTGGTTCCCATATGGCAGCCTCAGGGCCCAAGTATATGCTGTATAACATGGACCCTGAGGTAAGTCATGAGATGCGAAGCCTCGGTTCTTGTGCCAGTGCTGAGGCGGAGGCTCTGAGAAGCTTTCATGCGCAGGCACCTCGGTTGCAATTCCTTTGGGATTCAGGGTTGAGTGTGTGTCGGTTTCAGGGTCGGGTTCGTTGTTGATGCAGCTGAGCTGAGATTCATGTGGGCCCGTGCCAGTTGTGGCTGACAGGGCTGAGCCTGAGTGGCTTGACATCTTGAGGGGGAGAGGTGTGGCTGAGCTGGTTTGTGTCTTCGGGAGACGCTGTGAGCGAAGAAGGACGAGGACAGCAATGGGAAAAGAAAGTAAGCAAGGAAGGAAAGAAAGACGGCAAAGGGAAGACATGAAGAGCATGTCCTTGGCCCAAATTCTTGCAATCTTCGGATGGGTGCTCAAGATCCGGATCAGGGGCGAATGGACAATAAATCTTTAAAAGATGTCCCAGTCCGGTGCCGGAAACCTCGAATCTGAGAGGCGCTACAAGAGGGGCTCCAGAAGGCGGAAGAGCTCCGCAAGGTGGCTGGGTGATGAAAATAATAATATGAACAATAGCAAGAACAGTAACAAGAAATACAACAAAAAAATAATTATAGCAACAATAATAATAATAGTAATAGTAATAGTAATAGTAATAGTAATAGTAATAGTAATAGTAATAGTAATAGTAATAGGAATAGTAATAGCAATAGCAATAGCAATAGCAATAGCAATAGCAATAGTAATAGTAATAGTAATAGTAATAGTAATAGTAATAGTAATAGTAATATTATTAGTAATAGTACTAGTACTAGTACTAGTAATAGTAATAGTAATAGTAATAGTAATAGTAATAGTAATAGTAATAGTAATAGCAATAATGATAAAGTCAAACTGGTGCCACCCCGTGCTACGCAGCTCAGTTTGAGGGTTGGCAACGGAACGGTTGCTGGGGTTTATCGGGCTTACGGTTTGAGGATCTAAAGGGGGCTTGTGAAGCTTATGTTGCAGATGTAGTGTTGAACAGTTCAGCGCAGTCTCCGTGCTTCAGGACGACGTCCAGCTTGTCCCCCTCCTCGGACGGAATCTGCAGCTAGAGCGGCAAGCTTGGTTCGGTTGAACAGCTGATCTTTGTCAGCAGTGCGGCATTGGTAGGAAGCTTTTCTTTGCTTAACAAAGGAGTTCCAGATGCAGGTGTGTAGTTGATGCCTGCAGCTTTTGCGTTCCCAGAAAAAACCAAGCGCAACAAGCCCGTCCAGTTATTCCCATGCTCAACGAAAGATGCGCGCAACATTCGCAACATCCCGCTTAGAAGCCCCTCTTTTCCACAGCCACAGAGCCATGTCGGTAGTACGACTGCCCTTAGCGCTGCTGGTCCTGCTCTCTCTGCATCTGTGCGCAGGCCCGCTTCTCGGAATGTGTAGGGCTGTGAGATTTCGGTGAATGTTCCTAAGTTGGCCTGGAAGCGCTGTTTTTTGAACTTAGCAATTGTGTTAAAGTGTTGTTTTTGAAAGAGCGGAGAACAGTCTATGAAAAAAGGTGAGATTTTTGAGAAAGTGGCTTGATGAAAAACATAGTGGAGACGAAAGCAGACTTGCAATGTAATTGTCAGCAAGAGCTGCCGCATCTGGCGCCGAAGTCTCCTGGTAACCTGGTAGGCCGTACGACCAACAGCTCCGAATCGGAAGAGATGGAAAGGTTCCAGACGATCCAGGACAGGGTGAAGACCGCTCAGCCAGCCGCCCTGTTTCAAGCGCCCCTAACTCTAGCGCTTTCTGAGCGCGCTTGCGGACGCTCTGGTGCCGCTGCAGGAGGCCATAAAGGAAGAAGGGACCGAAGGCATCGTGCACGAATGGACCGGACTGATGGTTTGCTGTTCGGCATCTGTGATGATCGCGCTGCTGATCGGCAACTTCCTGCACGTCTGCGAGGCGACGGTTTCGCAGTCGGAGCGAGCCCCCTCCTCCCAATCTCTCTTGACGATTCGGGCATCTTGGTTTTCGTGGGATGACGGAAGGTTTCAGCATGGTTCAGCTTCGGATGAGCTCAGTTTGGACTGCTGCTGTGTCTTGCGAGTTCTTGTGGTGAAAAACCTGCCAGGTCAGCATCGTTAGCGAATCCAGCGTGATTATTTTGGTGGGCTTCCTGCTTGGGGTGATCTTGCCCACGGATGGCTCCATACTGGGCTGGGGGATGGGAACAGTCGATGTGGAGACGGAAGGGCTGCTGATGGCGACCTTCTTGAACCTGTTCTTGCTGCCGGTGATCATTTTCGAGGCTGGCTGGTCCATGACGCACCGGGACTTCATCAATCAGCTGACGCTTTGATGCAAAAAACTGCACAACCAGACGTCATGACAGGCCATTCGGCCAACATGGTCTGCTGCAAAAGTCATGGATGCCAAGGTTCACCATCTTGACGTTTGCGGTGCTTGGCACGCTGATCTCGATGCTTGTTGTTGGACTTCTGATTATGTCGACTTGCCACATTCATGGCGTGTGCCGTGCGGCTTCGTCGCATGAAGAACCTTTTCTTGCACGAAGTGCCGCTAAGCCCCTGGCAGAACATGGCATGTGCAGGCCCGAACAGCTTTCACCTATGCTGCCCTCATTTCGGCTGTGGATCCCGTGGCAGCTTGCATGCATGCCGGTCTGCTCTCAACGTGCCCTGGCTCAGCACAGCTCATCACAGCCTGGTGGCTTGACTCAGGCCACCCTTGCCACATATGCGCACCTGCAAGTCGATCCACTTCTCAATATCATCGTTTTCGGTGAGTCTGTTGCGGCTTGCTTGCAGACTAGATGTTGGATGTGTCCGAAGCAGTTGCAGACGGAAGCCTCCATTCAAAAGGACGGTCCCACGTCCGCTAGACTCTGTAGAGCTTTCAGTCATTGCATGAGCAGCTCAGCATGACCAATGCACTGCCCGAGAAACGCGGACATGTAACGACGTTTGAGTGGCCCCACCCTGGCCGAAAGACTTCAGTCACACTCATCAGCTGTCAGGTTAATGATGCAGTGGCCATTGTGCTGTTTCGTGTGTTGAACAGCAGCTTGGATCAGACGATGGGGATGGTTGCAGCCAAGCCTGAGTTGATCCATTCGGAGGGTGGCAGGTCTAATGGAAGCATATTCCCCTCCCCCTGCTAATATAATTATATTGGGGGGGTATTAAATGTTTGGGGGTAAGGGGGGGGGGGGTTGAATATTAGGGGAGGGGGGTACACCATCTCTTCATGTTCAGGTTCGGAGAGCTTCGAGGACATGAGCGTTGGGCAGGTCAGCGGACGCAGCGCGCCCACGACCGATCAGAGGATGAGTCTATTGCACGACAAAAATTTGGACAGATGAGCTGTTTCGGTTGCAAGGCATTGGATCCCAGACTCTTTTGCTGCTCTTCGGCTCCGTTGGACTCGGCATCATGCTGGGGTTCCTCCTCATGTGCCGCGGCCGACTGGATTGGTAAGCAAGGTACATAGTTGGGTCTTCGTCTTTGCAGATCTTCAAGACAACAGTGCCCACTGGTCCCGAGGCTGACCACTCGCTACTGCCGTGCGAAGCTTACGCGGAAGATTATGGACGTGTTCCAGTCATGCCCACTCAGTGAGAATGGTCTGCTCGCACAAGCGGTGATGTGATGTCCAGCTGTATGGAGTATAACATAGAAGACCCCCCCCCCAACAGCAGTCGTCGCACTCATACTGACAGATACGATACCACACTCATGGAGAAAAGGCCGAGAAGACATGCTCTGGCTCTGGCACCGGCAGCCAGTCAAGATAACATGAAAACAAAATGGGGGTTTCCGATTAAGGGGGGGAAGGCCGATGAGTCCTCTTGCAACTGATTTTTCGGCTTGCTAGCCGAGCCGTTGATGTCTTTCTGTTTGCCAACCGCACAACGGCTCATGTGGCTGACGGCTTACACCAACATGAACCAGGCGACAGTCCTAGCTCTGAGCCGAGAGGAAGGAAGCATCGTGGCGCGTAAGCCCGTGCATCTCACCCCGGTACAGAAACACACTCAACCGGACAGGTGGCAACAAGAGCCGTATGCAAGCTGAACCGCTATGACCCTGGACTAACTGACCAGTTCCTAGTAGCTAGAGAGGTGGCATAAGGTGGCATGATCCGCACAGGAAGGCTCTCTTCTTTTTTTTTCTCTCTCTGTCTCTCTCTGTCTCTCTCTGTCTCTCTCTGTCTCTCTCTGTCTCTCTCTGTCTCTCTCGTCTCTCGCTCTCTCTGTCTCTCTCTGCGCTGGGTGCTGTGCTTCGAGGCCTAGCGGACCAGACCCCCAGCCTTGTACTTTTCGTGTTTGTCTCCAGCTTCTTCATCTATTGCTTTGCGGAGCGAGTGTGCCGCGCTTGCACTACAGCACGGTTCCGCCTCTGTCTGCTTTTGACTGCATTTCAACTCTCGGCACTATCCCTCAAGCAAGTGTCTAAGGTGCGGCATGTCAGGAATTATTACCGTGCTCATCGCTTCCATGTTCGCGAGCGGTTTCGCCAAGCATCAGTTTTCCCCGGAGGCGACGATGTTTTGCGCCTTGCATTGAGAGAAGCTGCGAAGCTGTCGCAACCACCCTCCCCTTGCGCTGAAGCTGCGTGCTCTTTTTGGGGTGAAACTCCTTAGGCTTGTCAGAGCTAAGGCGCCTTTGCGCTGAAGCAGGCAGCAACTCTAGCGGACATGGCTGCTGCCTCACGCATCTTCAAGAATGTTAGCAGTTCGCCATGCCACTTGTTTCAGATCATGCCGGTGGTCGGCTGTCAAGGTGGTCTTCCTCTTCTGCGGCATTACCGCAGTGTACTGTGATATGCGAGGCGGGATGGGCATCCATCAAGTCCTGTGCCTATAACAACAACATCAACCAACAAGCGAAACTGGCCAAATACATGTAAAAGAGCAAGTTGCGCAGGCATGGTTTTCGGTGGGCTGGTCATCGCTTTTTGCCTTCTCGGAAGAGCGGCCGCCGCACCTTCCCCGGACCGACACATTGTCTTGGTGGATGATCTGTGATGCAGACGTTTTCCGGTATAGACCTGTGATGGAGGTGTTGCCGCTTGCGCTGCTCACGAATGGCTTGAAGGCTAGCAGCTAGCTGGTAGCGAATCGGTGTCTCCATGCTGGCATGTCTTCCTGGAAGGCGGCGACTGGTCGGGGTGAGAGCTGGGAGAGAAGCTTGAGATTAGATTGGAAGAAGGCGGGGGTTCTCGTGCAGCACATGTTTGCACACATTTTGCTTCGAAAGCGACTCCTCCACAAGCTGGCCTGAGCCTTGCGCAGAGAGGGAAGCAGACGTTGTGACAGTGTTGTGGGCTTTCCTGCACGCCCTGCAGATCTTCATGATGTGGCACGCGGGATTGCGCGGTGGCACCTGGGATTGAGTCTGTTTCTCGGACTTTTGTGGGCATTCTTGAGAGCCAAGTGTGGTCCTTGCTAGGCATTGCTTTGGTCCTCACGCTGGAGCTTGAGCCGTGGGTTGATGAGGGCACGCCTGGCCAGAGGGACACCCTTCGCAATGCCACGATACTCATCATAGCCACTTGCAGCACTTGCACTTGCGTCTTAGCCGTCTCCGGAACCGTCTCGGATATCTCGGTGGCTTTGTTTCAGTAGTCCACCAAGCGCTGCTCGTTCTCAGCCTCAGGTTTTCTTCCTGCTCTTCTTCGGCAGCTGGCCAGCATAGACTCGGCACCTACAGGTGTAACACTCTGCAACGGCTTTGCCGGTACATTTGGCAACAATTGAGCAGTTGGAGAGCGTCGGAGTGATACGCACGCGTGCAGAAGGACTTGCCCGTAGCTGAGGGTTGGATGATGTTGGTATGCTAAGGAGGCAGCACCAAAGTCTTGCTGAAGCCCGCAGCTAAGCCTTGCCAAGTGCAGCATGCAGGGGACGCGCGCTGTCCTAGCACTTGAGACCCAAAGAATTGCTGATTTCGGTGCCGCGCGTTTCGGCTTTCGGCGCCGAGGAATCTGGGAATCCCGATGGAAGGCCGATCGCAGCAACAGCAACCCACGCGAGTGGAAACACCCTACTTCAGAAAGGTAAAGCGGCGACGTGAGCAATAGGGCATGGTAGTGCGGCGCTTGAGTGAGAAAGATCCCACTTCCAGGTAAGGCCAAGCCCATGCATATCCACCACGGAAAGTTCTGGCGCTTCCTTCATCGCATTCGCTATCACGTTTGCCACCTAGGAAGCTGTTTCTGGATACGCAACAAGCAAGTTACCTAATTTCCGGTGGCAAGTCATGGAAAGCTGTTGGCTTGTGAGGTGCTTGGCCCGATGTTGATCGCAGACTCATCAAAGCTGTTCCCTGTTCGCACTTAAACGACTCGGGGGTCACCGGACATCAGACTTCCTTATAGTTCCGAACAAGCCCGCTGAAGCCTTGCCCAGGAACGAGGGCGCCCTTCCTCAGCTCATAGCCCTGGCCTTTGCTTCGCTTCATTTTCATGACCGGTCCCTTGCGCTCTGGGCATTTGTTTGCCAGGAATGCTGGAAGGTAAGTCGTACAGACACGTCATGAGCAGTGGGCCTTTCGACCCCGCGTCGAGGCTGATATCGCTGCTGTTGAGGGGAGGCAGAGTTCTTCCGTTTCTGTGCTGCAAATCCAAGTTCTTTGGTCAGGAAGACCTAGCCGCAACAACATGGGGGTTTACGAAAATAGCGGACTCCTAAACTAGACCCCCCAAATAGTAGGATTCCCTGTCTCAAAAAGGACCGCAACAAGGTGCCCCTAATTTCGGAAACCATCGGAAACTCCCCCCCCCCCCCCCCCCCAAATCCCACAGAAGCTGCTTTTGAGTCAAAAGGCTTCGCTTCCACCCGGCCAGCGCTCTTCGCGGCTCCCGGCCGCTTGGCTTGAAGCTATCCTGCTTTTGCAGACTGTGCCCATAGTGTAGTCGTATGATTTCGTATGATCATAGTCAGACGGCTACTTCTGCCAGGCACGGGGGGCCTGGGCTTCACCACAATCTCGGCTTCGACATGTTCAACATTCGGTCGTCCGCGCAACCGAGGTGATCCAATCGCAGCGATCAATAGATGCCCGGCGTGGCGACGAAATGGTCAGCCTTTTCGGAGCCTCATTCTTCCAAAATCTTTTGCACCAGGACATGCGAAATTTGAGGCTTGCGGGGTTCTTCCGGCTTGCTTTGGTGGTCCAGCTGGCCACCATACCTCAAAAATAGACATCTGTATTTCCCCACCCTCGGTGCGGGGTTGTTAGATTTAAATTAAACTCAACTCTTCTTCTCGTCCTCGCTCATCCCTGGAGTGCCCAACCCCAAAGTGTCCCTGGAGTGCCCAACTCTAGAGTGTCCCCAGACTTTTCTGGAGGTCCCCCCCAGAGTGCCCACCCCAGAGTCTCCTGGAGTGCCCAACCGCCCCCAGAGTCTCCTCAATTCCAGAGTCGCCCTCGGTGCCCAACCCCAGAGTGTCCCCGGAGTGCCCAGCCCCATCCCTGCAGTGCCCAACCCCAGAGTCTCCCAACCCCAGAGTATCTCTAGCAAGAGAGGGTGGGGATGTTCGAAGTAAAATACTTATTTGCAGCGTGGTTGGCAACGCGGTCTGTGAAATTGGCTCAATCTAGCCACGGCTTATGCCAAGGAATGGTGGACCCCTTGAATGCGAACGAGTCTGGCTCAGAAGGCCTAACCGATGCCAGCAGCAGTGAGGCCGGCTGGGCCTCCCGACATCCCGGGCATGTGCAGTGTGCTGTTTCAGCCTGTTTCAGCTCTGTATGCAGTAGCATCTTCAGTGGAACTTGGAGACCATAAGTTTGCACCTCTGGTGCCGAAAGACCCCTGGTGCCGCAAGACATGTCAACAAATCTCTGAAGGAGCACCTGGCAAATTTGAGAGACCTGTGGACTTGAGTTGGGGCTGCACACTTTCCTTCCTGTGGATGTTGGGGTTTCTTCAGCTTGATGCAGCGCTACCCTGACCCCTAAACCCTAAACCCTAGACAAAAACACCCTGAACCCTCTCTGGACTGATTTTTCAGAGAGCGCGCGCCAAAAACCCTAAAGGGGAGGGAGCCTTTCGGCTAGAGATGTCCCTAAACCCTAAACCCTAAACCCTAAACCCTAAACCCTAAACTCTAAACCCTAAACCCTAAACCCTAAATCCTAAACCCTAAACCCTAAACCCTAAACAGGACGAGGCCGACTCGGAGACGGAGGAGTGATCAGCCCTTCCCCGCTTTCTAGGGGGGGCGTACACGGCCAATGCTTTCACTTATCATTCCCAAAGAGCCCTTTTATACCCCTTGACTAGGGAACATGCCTTAAACCATATAGGGGATCCTTAGTATATGATTCTGAAGTAGATTCCTTATTTTGAAGGGGGCTCTCTGGGTTATTAGTTTCGGTTCATGATTCAATACCTTTCGCTTGATGTACGAGGCAGCTCTAGGGGGCAGCTCAAAGGGGCACCCAGAGCAGAAAACGACAAGAAAGTCTGTTGGGGGGATGTCCGCAGGGCCCTTCCGCGATTGTTTTTGGATTGGCTACCGTTCTCCTAATGCGCTCAAGCAGGAGGTGAACTAAGACTAAGAGCATGCTGAAAGGCAGCCACACAGCACCTTAGATTTCTGCCTAGGGTTTGAGGCGCTCGCACAGTCTGTATCTGCAGTCGGATAAAGGTGTAGTGGTTAAGAACCTTCTGTAGACAACTCTCGCGCCTCCGAAGGCTTGTCGGATGTACTGCGTTTTTTTTTTTTTTTATATTTTAAATGGTAGTTTACTTGTCAATGTGAGTCAAAGCGTACATCTCAAGCCGACGCTGTCCCATGCTGTCCCCCCACCCACCCCATGGTCAATTGCGGCTTCACATGCTTTTTAACAAATACGGGTTGCATCTGCGGTGGCGGAAGCAGCGGAATCACGCTTGCCGTGCTCTCTAGGTTGTTGTTTGTTCCTCTTCGTTTGCTTTCACCTTTGCTTTCCTTGTCTGTTCCGTTGACCTCTGCAATATCTCTGTGCCTTCCGAGTCCACACAGGCGCACTCAAGCACTCTCTCTCTCTCTCTCTCTTCTCCTCTCCGTGGAGGCACTGGAGTGCAGAGGTTTACGCATGCCCTGCAACGGCAAGACGTGCGCTGTGTTTGCTGAGGTTTGTGTTGGGCAGCTGTACCATGACGGCCGTACAGGTTGGCGAGGCCTCTGACTCTGAGAGTCTCAGAGCTTCAGTCAATGCATTGAGCACATCACGATTGCGGAGCTTGCTGCCGCTCAAGGACTTATTCTGGTAGCAGGTAGCATGTGGGGGTTTCCGATATTAGGGGGTACCTTATTGGGGTGTCCACCACTGCCGCTCCTGTATGCGCATCAGAAGACTTGGCCAGCCAGACTCGGGACACCAGCATCCGCCCTGACGTATTGGACGCCACATGAACAACGGTTGAGTCGGGTGCCAGTACAATGGAAAGTGAAGCACGGTAGTGATTCGGCATCAGCATGCGGAAGGGTTTTACAGGACCCAGAAGATATGGTGCAGATGAACAGCGGCAGGGGACCGGGGCGGGGGGAAAGGGCAGCAAGGCAGGAAAGTGTACCGGTGCGTTTCGTATGCTCTTGGGCGGGAGGCCTGCAAGACCAATAAGACCAGCATCCGGTTTTCATACTGTTCGACCCCGAGCTCGACCAGCGATGCGCAACAAAGCACTCTTTAGTCGTTGTGTCCGCAAAAAAGGGGCATGACCATCTTCAGCAGCTGGACCGACAAGTCACAGCAGCATCACGCCAGAGCCACAAGAGCGCTGAAAGAGCCTCTTGCGAAAGCATCCCTGCAGAACGCCCGCTAGCTTTCGCACAAGAAGAGAGAGGGTGTAGGTGTTGGGTTCGTTTTGTTTGGTTACAAGGTGCTCCGAAGATGGGAGCCGGTCTTCGATTTGGCAGTCATTGGCATTGGCCTGGGATGATTCGGATGATGTGCTCTCTTGTCCTGTGTCAGCTGATATATGACCACAGCGGCGCAGTTCCAAGGCTGGGGGTCCCGCACTCAGGAGCTTCCTGCACATGGCGATGTGACGACGTGTGATGTTTGTACCCGACCTTCGTCATTGTGGGTGCGATTCGCCCAGGACGCTCTCGTCCATCCCGCGTCTGCCGGGGCTCAGTGCGGAGGACACCCATCTCTCGCACTTGAGTCGGGAGCCGTCCGCGTCAGCGTCTTGATTTGACGCCCCAGGACATCATGGTCATGCTTGGGCACCAAGATGACGGCCACTGTATCGCGCTGTCAATGGGGCTGAAGAGGCATGCCCTTGACTAAGGCTCAGCCAGCTGACAAGGGCTGTCATGCAGCCTGAAGGCATTAAGTGTTCCCTTCAGCCGACAACACGCCTCCCCTGTCCCTCACACCAAGGAATGTGGTCTCTAGCACCAATAACCATGTCCTGGCCTCGAGATGGCAGCTGATGGCGATTTGGGGTTGAGCCGCACCTCTTCGGAAATCTGGGAGGGTTTCTTCGTCCTTTCAGCGGAGTCTGTTGTCAGAGTCCATCGCTTTCAACATTCAGCTGACGCTCTCAGCTGAAAGGCTGGGAAGGGTGGTAGACTATGGCAGACTCATGACGTGATTCTGGTTAGTTGGCCATTTGCGACGTGCATCTCAGCGACTTTTTTCTTGCAAGGTCAAGTTTCAGCGCGCCTTTGAGGCAGTTCTTGTCAGCATGATGAATGAAAGTGCGGTCTATTTGAGACTCTCTCGGACAGTGTCAGACGCCACTTTCTTTTCGCATGCCTGCGAACAGCACGTTGATCTTGCCATTGGCTCAAGCCTGGCAGGCAGGGCATGCGTTGCAGCACGAAGCACAGGCAGATCCTCGCAATTTCTCGTATACATTCTCATTTGGCATTTCTCAGCTGCCAGCATAGCGTGGGGCCCCGTGGCACTTCTGACAAAGCCAGGAGGCCGGTCGTGTCCGATGAATAGGGTTTAGGGTTTAGGGTTTAGGTTTAGGGTTGAGGGTTCAGGGGTCGGGGATGGGCGGTGCGGTTGCGACTTTCGTTCAAGAGATCTCCAAGCACGCGGGGGGTGATTTGTCAAAGCTCTCCGGAAGCCGCATGGCTTGAGGTGTGGCCGACAAAGGTCATGGGCACTGCACAATCGAGCTGGGTGGCATCCTCAGATCAAGACTTTCTGCCGGTGCTGTCACCAGCACACCGTTGTCAGGCAATTCTGGCCCGAACTGCCTGAGACTTACAGCCATGAGCTAGCTGGGAACGAGAAGCCCCGATTTGCTCCGGCATTCGTTTCCACAGGCCGACCCCGAGAGCGAGCGTCAGCAGCGCCCAGCTCACCAGTTTCTTGGCAAGTGTTGTTCGGGAAAGGGGTGTTGCATTCGGGTACAGGGCAACCCCTGGATGCCCACAGCACGCAAGAGAAAGGGATGGAGTCCTCATGAAAAGGGCCTGCCCCTTCGACCGCCACGAGGTTTCCGAATGGTGCCGTCTATGAAGGCGGGGCGTTCATGCTGCTGCAGTCTTTTCCAGCTGCGCTCCGGGCACCAGACACCAAGGTCAGTGGGTTGGGCCAGCACGAGAAGGTTACGGGGTGCGCGCACAGAGTGCCGTCATTGTGGTTAGTTCTCACCCAACGGTGAGACGTAGCAGTTTGTGTTGAAATATTCATGGGCAGCGGTTTCGGGGAAGGTAGGGATGAGCTTGCTTAACTAACAGACTAACTTGGGGTGCATACTGCCACGAAAATTTGCAGCCAACATGCGGGGAAGGTACAAACTTGGCCAGATGGAGCGTCCTACACAGGACAATGGGTGAAGGAGAGCTGCCAATGTTGTTGACATGATGGCGTCGGAACACGGGGGAACATTGCTGACTGCATGGCAGGACAAAGCTCAGGGGATGGGTAGGTTTCAGCATGCCGCGGGCGATTGGTGCCCGTCACTATGCTGGGACACTGCTCGCAATAATTTTAAAGGCTGAGGCAGACCACAGCACCAGCAACCTTGTGTAGCAACAGGTACGAAGGCAATTTCCTTGACGATATGCAGCATGGGTATGGCGTTGGCATGTATGCGGTGTGCTTACGACAGTGACACGCCAGTGCCTTTCTGGAAATGGCCAACTCAACTTTGCTCAGATTGATGGCTCCAAGTACACCGGCCAGTTTGCTTGCGACAAGCATCATGGAGAGGGAGTGGAGGCTTGTTATTTTCCCGAAGCGTTTGGACCTGAGTGCGGCTTACACTGCACAGGTGTGGCCAGATGGAAGCCGCTTTCAGGGAAGCTACTTCCAAGGAATGAAGCATGGTCCATATCCCAGGATACCCCTACGTTTATAGGGTTCTTCAGGGAGGGGGATGCATGGAGGGTAGGTACCTAGGGAACCTTAAGGGAAGCTTAGGGAGCCTTAGGGAGTAGTAGGGAGTGTTAGCGAGCCTGGGGTTACTCGTTGTGGAATGTTTGAGGGCATGTCAGATCTTGACTGGATCCCAGGTCATGGCTTGTACTTGCCATCGCCCTAGTTCTGAGATGTGGCAGCAGCTGCCATGCTGGATTCTACATGCTCCGTGTTCTTCGAGCAAGGTGGCCGGATGGATCGAAGTACGATGGCACCTTCGAATCAAACAACATGTGGCAGACTCGGGCATGAGCGAGCGGCGAGCAGAGAGTTCATGCAGGAACGCTTATGCCCCATAGGGTCTTGAAGAGCATCTGTTGTTCTATTCACTATTTTCATAAATATCGCAACAACAATACTGAATACTACAGTACTGCTTCTAGTGTGTGCGTGTGTACACGCATGCTTATGACCTGTTGGCCGCCTTATGTCAGGAGTGGCACTGGAACTTACAACTGGGCTGACGGGCGCTCATATAGCGGCCAGTTCATGCCCCAGAGTGTTGCTTTGCTGACGTCTCTAATGTAGTTCCTTTTAGGGGGTTCTAGTAGACTACCCCAAAAAGGATCAAAAAGGTACTACATAGGAGCCCTTAGGTTTGCTAAAAGCCTGTAGACCTGAAAGTGCAGAGTTTTCTTGCTGATCCTTGAGGTGGGAGAGGAACACAATGCACGGTTTGGTGCTGAGCAAGAGCAGACAATCTCTGCTATGCACTTGTCTGTGTAGGGTTCTGGTACGGAAGCGCGGAAACGCATGCCCGCGTCGTCACCGCCAAGGGGCCAGAGGTAAGCGACCGCTGATGCTCAGGCAAGGGCTCCTTCAACTATGGTGATGGCCGCAGCTATGAAGGCAGACGCTGTGCCGTGAGTAGCATGTTGAGACTTGACATGGCGACATGACATGACGACGTGACGACATAACGACATGCAGGCGACTTCTTTGAAGATGTCAAGCATGGCGCAGCCCTGAAATGATCATCACTGCAGAACTGTTTAGTCGCACGAGCCGGTCGTGAAACGCTCCAGCCTCCCCAGGTCAAGGCACTTTCCGGTGGCCAGATGGAAGGACACCTCCGTTGAAGCGGGCAGTGTCCACCATCCTGCCGGGATCACAACCCAAGCAGCGTTGCAGGAGCTACACGGGCGAATGGAGAAATGGAAAGCGCCATGGTCGGGGCAGGTCTCGATCTCAGCTGCAGCCGCGCAGGCCTTGTGACACAGCTTCGGCGTGCAGGTACACTGCGGCAAGCCACAGGACCAAGAACGGAGTATTCGAGGCCACCACACTGAAGCATTTTGCGAGCACCGGCCCGACCCGTGGTTCTGTGAAGGATGGGAACCTGGTGAAGTGGGAGGATTAAGGCTCTCACAAGAATTGAGGCAAGTCACCACGATCGCTCTGCTGCCCTAGAGGTGTTTTTTTCAGTTGAGTTACTGGGGGCACCTGTGCAACCTAAGCCGCTGCGCTAGGCCCCGCTAGGCTTGCTCATGGACACGCACCAGCTTGGATGTGGCGTGAATTGAAAATCTCAGGCAGCTCAAATAGCTGTCTTTCTGTTGTAGCTGGATCTGTTTCACTGAGAAGCCAGCTTTATCTTCTTAGGCTGCAGAATGACCAGCAACTAGCCTGAGATTGTTCCTTCTCGGAGTGAGAAAAGGTGACTTCTCAGCCAACGGCAATTTGGCAAAGGCCTACTTTACCCAATGAGGTGCTTCCGGATCCTGTTTTCTAAAGAAGTTTCTACTTGAACTCAAGACCGGATAGCTTTGACCCATCCGCCATTTGATTCCACCTCATGTCACCTTGACCAACAAAAGAGATGCTAAGCATCGTCGTTGCGTGTGGTACATCTTGTGAGAAATTCCTGGCGCGTTCTGTGTGCGTTCAGTGCTGCCGATTCCGGTAGGAGAGCTGACCCACATCGTCTAGCCTGCGAGCGAAACCAAGAAGACAACTGTGTCCGGAAATCTGCGCAGCCTCAGGCAATGCGCAAAGCTTACAGAGAAACCAGCCGACCAGCTGTGCAGTCCTGGCAGCTTGCCTAGCGTATGTTCGACTCGAGATGGCGCTTGGTTTATTCGTCAAGAGATCTCAGGTTGGAGAACAGGATTGGCCTAGCAAGCTTCGACAGATCGTGCGCTGGCAGCTGCATGTTGGACTTGTGGTGGTAGGCAGTGCATGTGTGTCATGACGAGGTACTACTACACCGTAGACACAAAGCAGAAGATGTTTTACGCGGCCATCACAGCTGACTTAGAGGCACCATCTGAGCTTTTTGGGCCACTTAAACCCTAAACCCTCTTGAGACGATGGGCCCTTCAGCCGTTGCTTTTGCTGAGAGTTAGTAGTAGGTTGATATTGTTGGCTGATGTCGTTAGTGTTTACTGCCTGTGCTGGACCACGCCCCAGTCTCCTCCTACGGTATCCTGGATTTGTGCCTGTGGAGTAGGCCCCTTTGCGGTGCGGGCAAAGCGGGTGGCAAAGAAACCCTAAACCCTAAACCCTAAACCCTAAACCCTAAACCCTAAACCCTAAACCCTAAACCCTAAACCCTAAACCCTAAACCCTAAGCCCTAAACCCTACACCCTAAACCCTAAACCCTAAAATCCCTAAACCAAAACAACCGCTTCTCATTGGAAGGCAGCTCGGTTGGCAGAAGCGGGCTTCGACGATGTGAGGACGGTAGTTGTGATGGTTCTAGAGAGTTCAATGCCCCTTAGTCAAAGTCTGGGTTTAGGGTTTAGGGTTTAGGGTTGAGGGTTTAGGGTTTAGGGTTTAGGGTTTAGTTTTGGGTTTAGGGTGTAAAGGCACGTGCCTTATCGTAAGCTATATGAGAGTTTATTCATCTACTTCATTCTAGGCCTAGCGGCACGGGCCTGCCCCCGCCCCCGAAAACACGAAGGCGAAACCTCGAACCTTGCACTGTCTCTTTCCCTTCTTCTTTGTCTTTTGTTTTTCTAGCTCTCCGTCTCTCCCTGTCTCTCTCTCTCTCTCCCTCTTTTTCTTTCTTTGTTTCCTCTTCTCTTTACCTGTTTGTTATTTATCTTTCTCGTTCGGTTGCTCTGTTGCTTTCTATCTCTCTTTATCCTCTTATTTCTGTTGCGCTTCCTTCTTTTTATTTCGTCTTTCTCTTTCCGTTTCCCTTTCCCTTTCTCGTTCTCGTTCTCGTTCTCTTTCTCTTTCTCTTTCTCCTTCTCCTTCATTTTGTTTGAATCTTATCTTTCTTAATCTTTACTACATTTTTTCTTTCTCTTCCTCTAGCTCTTTCCTTTTCGCTTTCTCTCTCTCTCTCTCCCTCTCTCTATCCATGTCTCTCGCTCTCTCTCTCTCTCTCTCTGTCTCTGTCTTTCTCCCTCCCCGAGGGCGGGGGGAGCGGGGAGGCGAGGAGGGCGGGGAGCAGAGGCGGGGAGCAGAGGCGGGGAGCAGAGGCGGGGAGCAGAGGCGGGGAGCAGAGGCGGGGAGCAGAGGCGGGGAGCAGAGGCGGGGAGGAAGGGGGGTTTGGGCATGCATTCGGGGGAGGGCGGGGGTGGGGGCAGCAGTGCGGGTTTGGGCATGCATTGGGGCCCTTAAGCACTTCATTTTCATGGTGTAGAGGAAGGGGAAGGGCGGGGTGAGCGAGGATGCAGGAGGTAGAGGCATTGGAGAGGGCGGGGACCGGGGGCGGGGGGAGGGGAGGAGGGCGGCGGGGAGGGCGAGGAGGGCAGAGGTGGGGCGTGGGGTGGGGAAGGGCTAGGGAGGGACGAAGGGGAGGAGGGCAGGGGGGGCGGGTGGGGAGGGGGTCGGAGGTAGGGCACAGAAACCCTTCTGATTTCGCTAGCGCCGACAGCGGGGTCGGCGCAGAAGGTATATTCCTGAGTTAAGGGGCATTAGCTTCTCTGGATTGCCAAGACAAAAAGGGTCATCACCGGGCTTCATCGGTCCCAGATCCTGACTCACAGCATACCTGCAGGATACGCATCTGCAACATCATAAACTTTTTCGACATCAAAACCAAGCCGCTGTCTCAGATCACTGCAGCGAACATTCCTTGATGCTCACGAAGCATCTACTGGAGGCCAAAGGCTGCTCGGATCAATGCTGCCGTCATCCGCCTGCTCGAGCGCCTGCGACTCCGACAGCGGCACAAGCTGTGCTTCACGAAAGTTGGTGGATTGAGTGCATTTGCTGTGTTTTTAGGCGGAGACGTGTGGCGTGCGCAGCTTCTGCTCAGTCGTGGAGTGGCTTTCACCTCGGCACACCCTCCGCACATGACGTGTTAAATTTCCACCGACACCAGCGTGACGAGGCACTAGCTTTCAAAAAGCCGCTTTCGTCCATGCGGGTAGGCTTGCACTTGGCCATTCTGTGCTGTTCACGTATGTTCGCGTATACTTCAGTCAGGCGATCTCAAGAGCACCAGAGTCTGTCGTCAGGCAGCTGCATTTTCGACGCATCATCTGAGCACAAGCTTTATGGACAGGCACCATCTGCGAACAGCTTGCAGCACCGCCTGTGTAGTGTGGGTGATGCCGCTGCAGTGAATCCCCTGTGCATGATGCTGGAGTTTTTGCTTGTGTATCTCATGTCCACCGGATCCGGTTTTGGCTTGCTGGCTGCTAGTTGCTCATTAGAACCATAGGAATTCGTCCACCACTTTGTGAAAGAGCATCTGGCCTGCTGCACCACATGGCCGATGAGCTGCCTGTGGACCCGGACAGGTTACTTCGAACGAAGCGGCCTGGCGGACATCAGCCACAGGTGTCTTGTGGTTTGCTGACCCTAGAGCCCTGCCCAGAGAGCCCAGTACCCCTCAATTAAGGACTATTGAAGATTCCTTAAATCATCATAAGCACCCCTTCATAATTTAAGGTATATATAGGGTTGCCATCCGAGGATGGCGGTCTTGCGGCAGCGCCCGAAGCTCGCAACAGCGCTCATCTCCGTGTGTAGTCAGGCGAAGGGTCCAGGCGCAATTGCCTCCAGCCAATTTAAGAGGATTCTAGTCTATTTGGGGTATAAAAGGGTACCCCCCCCCCCCCCCCCCCAATTTTGGGAAATACCCATGTAGTCTTCAATGCACACGTTCCTGGGACGCCTGTGCAGGGTACGTTTTGCGCGTGCTGCAGCGTGGCCACGTTCAAGTCAATGTGTTCCACCACAACGCCGCCATCTCTTGTCCCTTGGCTCCAGCTATCAGGAGCTGTCGTTATCTAGTAGTATTCACGGTGCATCACCAATCCCCGGTCTCGCGCTTAGGCTGCCAGAACTGGCAATGGCAGCAGGCAGCTGACATGCTCTTCGGATCAGACTTGGAGTTACATTGGGGCGGTACAGCCGGCTACCCATTCAGCGCGTTCTAGAGCTATGTAATCTTAAATGCTGCGCATCGTCTGCCTCGATCGCCTCGATGCGGCTTTAGGGTTTAGGGTTTTGCCCAAGACATCCGGTACGAGGCCAGAAAAACTGGCAGTCAATTTGATGCAGCATGTCTTGGACAGGCAGTTATTTCCATGCATCGCGCATTCTCTGAAGATGTCCCTGTACCGACTTTGGCTGCACCATGCTTTTTTTAACACCTGAAGGAAGTTTTGGGCAGGACGCAAACGCAGTCCGGAAAAAGAACCCTAGTGAGGAGAATGCAGGAGCCGGAGCCCAGAGAGCCCAATACCCCTTAGTTAAGGAATATACCTGAAATTATAAAGGGATCACTACTATGATTCAAGGAGTATTCCTTAGTTAAATTGGGCTCTTTGGGTAGTGATATGAGGCAACTGCTGGAGAAAGCCAAGTCCATAGTTCAGCAACGTGATGACATCGTTGAGGACTCGGAGTCCCAACTGCGAAGTTTCATCAGAGGGTCCCTCGTTAAACAACTCCAATCCTCAAGGGTTATGACATTATGAGTGGTGGACCACCAAAACCTGGAGTAAGATCCAAGATCACCCCTATAAAAGTGCGATGTAGAGCTAATGTACGGTAAAAATTAAGGGTGTTACCCACAACGAACGATAAAGCCCTTCATCAAGTGTAGTTTTAAAAGCAAAGTGGCCCTTAACACCCAGGGGCGACACGCCCAGCAAGGGTCAGTGAGTCTATCCGGTGCACGGGACTCCAACTCTCCACTTGGCCTGCAGACGAACCTTCAAAAATGACGACTTCGTCACCTCAGACATTGGCACAAAGTCAAACACATGGCTTTGAAGCAACGAAGACGAGCAGGGCGAGACAGACTTCTGTCCAGTGCTAGTGCTAATGCTGATTGTTTAGGCGCGTACTTGAGCTGGCTACACTAGTTTGTTGTGATCCGGAAGGTTGTACTGATTCAACAACATGACTCGACATCTCAGTAGTGCACCTCCCAGGTGAACGTGAACGGCCAGGAACAGCATGACACTCCCAGGTGGAGTCTTCAGAAACCTGTGGCCACACCTCAACACAAGGGTCGGTCCATTTTGAAAGGGTCCATGGCTGGTCACCGCGGAAGGGAAGCCGAGGAACTCAATTCCCAACGCGAGAAGATCGAAGGGGAGGGAGGAGGAAATTTGGGAATCAGGGGGTTCATCGGAACCTCTGACGCCTTACGGTCCGAGACTGAGGGGAATTAATTGGCATACTTGCTCAAGGACTCTTCGTCGACGGGTTCCCCTTCCCTTGCGGAGAACCATCATAGAATGGCAAACGCAGGCATATTAAAGTGTGTGGAGGGCTATGTCCAAGGCTGTAGATTGAGTTGGGTCAATACTTCCTGTGATGCAGAGGATTTTGGGGTGATGCACTGAAAGTGAGGCTCATTGCGATCTCGCAGTGCGCAGTGCCCCCCAACACGGTGAGCTGCAACACAGTGTTAAGAGCCCTGGACGTTGCTGGCCACTGGTCTCTGGCCATTGCTGCTGCAACATCGTATGTAGCGATTGGCCTCGATGTGGTCAGCTTCAACACAGCTGCGCAGCCTCCGATTGTGCAGCAGCGTAGACGAGTGTTACGAAGCCATTGGTCATGTGTAGGGGACTTCGGTGCAGTAGTTCGTTTGTGTCTTGTGGCACGGGTTAGCCCTGTTTGCGAAGTGTTTCGAAGAAGATCAACAGCCAGTGCGGCAGTAGCAGGAGCAGATAGTCCCAGAAATTCAAGTACTGCTAGCAGAAGCAGCACTGGCAGAACTGGCAGGGAAGTAGCAGAAGTAGCACTTTCAGAGCTGCCAGAAGTGTCAGCATTTGTTGGCAGAGCGTTGGGAAGCTTTTTTTGTCATTGAGGCTTTTTTGAGAAAATCCATGTCCGTCTCCCATTGGCCGTCTTCTTTCTAAGGTTCTCTCGGCACTGTCTCGCAGTTCCTCGTGGACAGCTGCGCTGGGTTTTCTGCGGAACATGAGCGGCCCAGAGTCATTACTTGTGCCAATGATGGCAATGTATCTTGAGCAGACTGGCGTAGAATATGTGAGGCGACATCGAGGCCCAGGCATCTGTGGGCACAGGCCACAATGTGCTCTCACCAAGGTACGCAGCAGCAGCCTGCAGACACCATTACTTTTAACTCTACCGTGTCTTCCTTGGCACGACGAGGATGGCTCTATGGGCAAGCACGTCAAGCGTGTCCGAACTGTCGAGCGAGCATTGAATGAGTCGTGCCATGTTTTGAAGAATGGCGTTTGCACACAAAGGATCTGACATGGCGTGTTGTTAGCTCGGTCAGAGAAGTTTCAAGTGTGTCTGCGCATGTTATCACAAAACGGCCCATTTGCCTTGGAGCCTGCAGGACTTTGGACAGAAGCACTTTCATTCGTTGCAGTGCTAAGACAACGACGCATGCAAGCTGAATTCGTGAACGAATCAGGCGCTTTTGACCGTTGCTTTCTTGCCGTGCTTGCCTGCCACATGCTTGCGTGATTCCTTTCGATTCGGTGTGCTGTAGTTGTGTACTAAGTATACTACAGACAGGCAATGCTGCGGTGCTGCATGCGATGGAGCAGAAGGGGCGCTGGCAGACAGCAGTTGTTCGTCTAAAGGCTGCAGTGGCAGATGGCGAACTGTACCATTGGCGGCTCATCTTAACCACACAGGGTCATAGTGAGCTCCGTTCCACTTGCACCATCCGACGCTCACCCGCACTGCGTTGCCTGATGAAGGAGTGCCATCGGTGCCACAACATCTGCATGTGAGAAGGGGACCGCCTGGGAATTCGCTGTTGCTGTGGTCACTCACATCTCCAAGCAGGGCATGCAACCAGATGGAATGTGCATCAGCGCCATGGTGAGCGCCTTGGAAAACTGCAGCCGATACTTCGCCGAAGTGAGGAGCATATCATGATTACTATTGTTGTTATCATTATTACTATTACTATTATGACTATTAATACTACAACAACAAGAACAACAACAGCTACTACTACTACTACTACTACTACTACTACTACTACTACTACTACTACTACTACTATCAGAATCCTGAAGCATGGAGAGTAACCTGAAGAGACTCTAGCAGTTCCAGGATGGCAGACCGCATTGGCCTCTGTGTCTCTGATGCCGACTGGCCGCTTGGAGCTGGACACGATCTGCTGCAGCGGCGCAATCAGCGCCTGCGAGAATGCATGTCGCTGGCAAGCTGCGGTAGTATCCTGCATGCAAGTCTGTTTGTAAACGCTTGGCCCCCATGCCATGTGCGCTGCTATGTCTGAGGGCAGTCTCGTGACGCAGGTAGTTTAGAGTTGCAGCTTGACCCCGGCACAAGTCAGCGCAGATGCTCATAAAGCGTAGATTCAGTAGAGAACAGATGTTTCAGTAGAGCACAGGTTCCCAGTGTTTTTCCTTGTTCGAGGCTCTGTTGCACCGGTTCGCGGACTTGAGTTTGGTACCATCGACTATCACTTTCAATGCCATGACTTTGACGTGTGCGAGGGGAACTCTTTGGCAAGCCTCGCTACAACTCGTGCGGCGCTTGAATCTCGGGTGGCATGGCAAGCGAGTGCCGGGGTGCTCTTTAGTACTTGAGAGCCACACACAACGTGCAGTCTTGCAATGTCGTGATGCATGTGCAATCATGTCCATTTGCAATCTGTTTTGTTGCAAAGGACTCCTTACACCGATCGCCAGACCTTTAATGCAGCTTTGGCATCACTTGCGCCAGACGGAAAGTGGCGGCACGCAGCGGCTTTGGTAAGTGACATGATGGCACAAGGGGACTTGCCGGACGAACTCAGTTGCGACGCTGCTTTTACCGCATGCGAACGGGCATCGCAGGGTGTTGCGGCAGTTTCTTACTTGCGGACTGTGCAGCGTTTTGGAGAGCGCCTGCTTCTCCATGTGCAAAAAGACTTGACAGATGCTGGCCCGCCTGGTTTGGAATAGCTTCCCGCAGTTAATGCAGCATACGGCTGCATGCCAGTAGCTGCTCCAGACTTGCTAACCCTTCTTTGTCAGCTCGAGTCTGGAATCTGGAAGGTGGCGCGCTACTTCATTTCAACAGGGCGGCTGCTGCCTCAGGTGTGCCCAGTGAAGTGATTAGTAGCAGCAGACATGCCAAAAGTCCGAGGTCGAGACTGTGCCAGCCTTGACCCACGACCATCGCTGCAGAAAATTGGCTCGCGCATGCTGCTGTACCTCCTACTTGTCGGGTTTTGTTGGAGAGAAGCGGGGTTCGGACCAGGTGCCGGGATGGTGGTGCTTACTCAAGTAGCCGTGGCCATATCATGTGAGAGCCCCCAGCTGGAGAAGAGAAGAGGTTGACCGGAATTTGACGCAGGTCGCGAGTCCTAGAACAGCACAGGTTTCTTCGCACACTCATGCAGCACAGATCTCAACTCGACATGTTGTCACTGCTTCAGAGAATGTCACCAAGTGATAACTTCCACTATGCCACTCCTAGCTTTTGTAAGCGTTTTGCTTTCAGGAAACCCTGGTGGTTTTGATGGACGCGTCCATGATGCAAGCGCTCTTGCAAATGGCGTGTCGTGATGTCTGGTGTCGCAATGTATCAGCAGCCTTGCGAAAACCATGCTTCGTGGGAATCGACGCATATTCGGCCCAATGGCAAAACTAATCGAATGGACCTGGTACTTCCTACCACCTGGAAGCTTCAAGCAAACAGGGACTCACACGGTTGTTTTCAGCAACCTACGGAGTGACGCAGTGATCGACGCGGGCATCTGTGAGCAATTTGTGCATGTTCTATGCTCGCGAGCTTGTCACCTTGCTTGAGTGGACTTTGGCACTTGGCGTGTGGAATCTAGGCCCTGGACTGGGGACAGCATGTGGGAGTTTGCGAAAATGAGGCACCACGAAAATAGACCCCCCGAATGGTACGATCGCCTTATGATAAGGACACATAAGGCCCCCAATAAGGTACCCCGAACTGCGGAAACCCCCATGGACTGGAGCGGCCAAACGAATCGATGATCGCATCCTTTGGCTTGAGTGTGGCAATCAACATACAGTGCATTGTGCTTTCACTGTGGCGCCCTTTGGAGGGTGGTCATGGCCTTAGTTGCTATTCCCGTGTGCAGATCCATCGGAAAAGAGTAAAGAATGGCTATTGTTTAGGGTTTAGGTTTTAGGGTTAGTGCAGCAACTTGTAGCCGAGGCCTGAACCATTTCCAGCATGATGATCGGTGTTGGGAATCACTGAGGCGCTGGCCGCGCGATCATGTTCCACACTTGCAGAGCCCTAGCCTGAGGCGCCAGCAAGCCAGTAGTGTTTGAGCCAGTCCTGGTAGCTCGAACATCTATTGTTGCATGTCGCTATAACTTCACAAACAAGCAAATAAAAGCCCTAACCCGTGGGGTAGGTACTGTTGCGTCAACATCCCGTGCAGTGGGGCACAGAAACCTAAATCTGTAGAGTTGGAAGTCCTAAGTACGAGGCCTCTTGTCACAGAGGGGGTGTTCACAATCAACACCAGCCTCACCTACCCGCGGAGCCGTCTTTTGTCTCTTTAAGCAATCTAGCGCCGGCTGCTGCCTTCACCCCTTTTTACCAAATGAACGCTTCTGTACTATTTTGTACTGAAATAGAAGAAGAAGTTTTTAGAAGTTTTTTTCCCGGGGGCCGGGGGAGGGGGGGTGAGCATGATACAGTATGATAGCATTGCCTGCCGTAATGGTAGGAGGTAGCAGCAAGTCCACCTCGTAGACTAAAGTGCAGCAAGTCAGTGGAGAACCCAAAGAGCCCAATACCCCTTAAATAGGGAATATTCCTTAAATCATATTAAGGATCCCTTAATCATTTAAGGTATATTCCTTAATTAAGGAGTATTGGGCTCTCTGGGGATATGGTTTTGGTGCTTGTTGGAATCTGAGGCCTGGCGCCCTGGTCAGGCTTCACGTGGGGGTCCTCAAGACATGCTCTCGCATGCCTACTTCTCGCGCCGCCGTGGGGGGTTTCGGCGTGGACTTGCCTTTGCAAAAACGTGTTGCGAACTTTGGTGCGTGTCAGCTACATCCAAAGTCTACTGTTATTTCCTGAGGCGCATCTTTATGTGCGGCCTTGCGCACGCACCCTTTGAAGGTTACATGCAGGCTTGCCGGAGACGTGGACAGGGCACACTTCAGGGCACCCGAAGCACGTGCAGGTTTGGATCGCAGACGGCTGGCGCAGCCAAAGATGCTGCGGCGCACTCGGTCTTGTGTAAGCATGTGTAAGTTGGGATGTTCCCCCATTATGCTAACAGTCCCTTAACAGGGATTGTAGTAGTAAAGGACCTGCTCGTAAACGAAGCTCGTGCTCTGATTCCGTTAAACAAGGCATGGTCGCGCCGAGCCTTTCTGACTCTGGCAGGCCGATGCATCACACGCTTGAAGCGTTTGAAGCTGCCTAAACCCTAAAGGCCCTAAACCCTAAACCCCAAACAAACAGCAGTACGAGACGGCAGGTGTCGGACTGGGATCTGCTGTTGCGGTGAGCAAGGCGCCGCCCCCTGTGCCCTTTACACAGACTTTGTGGTTGGTGGCACCAGTGCAGTTGAGTTGTCAAAACACTCAAAAACCCAAATGCCCGCAGAACTCATCAAGTCAAGCCGCGGAGTCTCACCTCAGTATGGCCTGAGCGTCATTTAGAGGTTGCTGTGTTTCGCCATTTCTGCAGTCATAAACGTTGAAAGCGCACGAGTGATTGGATTGGTGTGCCAGGAGCATTCTCCAATTCCGGGCCCGGTCGTATTAGAAAATGTCGCCATTGCATTTTTAGTCTGTTAGTATGTTCGCATATTTGAATATCTGCTACTGTCCCTTAAACGGTTTGAAAAAGTGTTAATACGTATTTGAGATGCGAATATACTTTAGCAATGGGTTGAAGCATGCTAAATATCTTTTCATATTCTATTGTAACATACTGTAGGTAGGAGATTCAGCATGATCTGGCAGACTTTTCTGAAGTAAAAAAACCTCGCTTCGGTGGGGTTGCCGATAGAGAGTTGTGGCTCTTCGGTCCAGTACATGAGGTACGGGCTGTAGACCGATGTAGGCATTATGGGCCTTTGATGGCTGTGCGGCTAGCTAGGCTGAACGTATGGCCAACTTTTCCAGAGCAAAGGGATGAAGTTGTAACTAGGTGGTGAGAGTTTCAAGTGCAGGAGCCATCCACAGCTCGCAGCTCAGGGAGTTGAGATGTTTCTGGGTTGTCTAAGTGTGACCAGGACCCCCCACTTTTCAGAGAAGTCGTGTTGAACTGCAGATCTGTAGGGTTGCACTTCCCGACCCCATTCGTGCCTTCGCGATGAGGTGAGGTGAACAAGGAAGTCATACGCACCTAAGGAGCTAATGCATGAGGACGATCCATGGATAGTCAGGGCAACAAACCGAGCTTGGGCAAAGCTATCTTGTTGTACTTCTGCTGATGCAAGCTTGGTCTAGGAACTGGTGGGGTCGTGTGCTGCGAGCTCAGGGCACGGCCTTGCCCACGTGCTCATGTGGCCGTTTCTTCCACGGGAAGTTGATGGGGAGTGCCAGAACAGGCAGGTAAGTCGAGGGGAACCCACAACGGAGAAGAGGTCGAATTCGTGGGGAATTGCTGGATGGCTTAGATCTTTAGGCTTCGGTTAGCAAACTTGCAAGAACGAGCCGCACCAGAGAAGCATAACGCAAAAAAAACACTGGCCACGTAGTGTCCCCAGTCATCAATGACTGAGTCGATGCGATTTTCTAGGTCCTCTGAGATGAATACAGGGTTTTGCGGCTTAGCGGCGATCGACAACTCTTGATGCCGAGGCCCGGTCAGCTGAGACAAGCCAGCCGGGATCCAAGAAAGGGCACAGCAGTGTACTATGGGTATGACCGGGAGAATTAGTTTGAGTGGGACAGCGTCCTGAACGTGTCGCAGCATCTTAAACCCAGTGGCCTGAGGCACCACTATGCCATCCTCGCAACCCCCCGGCCCCCTTTCCCCGTTGGATATGTGCTGGTAAATCATGGCATGTGCCCTGTTCACTCACCTTCGCAGCCTACTTGAAGGTTCATGGTACTTACAAACCGATTATAACTGGGCTTATAACCCTACTTACTTATAATTGGGATAACCCCTATAAGGCCCTTTAGGGGTATTATAAGTAGGGTTATAAGTACAGTGATAATTGGTTAGTAAGTACCATCAAGTATTGGGTGTCCCTGTAACTTGAAGTTGCCATTTACTTGCTTGGCAGGCAGAGTCTTTGTGTGGTTGGTGAGGCAGGCTGCACGTGCAAACAGAGGTACACTGATACACTCTTCACGGCTAAATAGACATCGACGGCACCAGCTCAAGACGAGAACACCTTCTTACTCTGTGTGAAGTCGATTAGGCTTGTTCGAGTTCGAGATGTTCGAACATCTTCTTACTGGACCAGTGCCGCGACCCTCTGCAGCCGCATGGCTCGTAGGGCCTAGAGGCTGCTGTAGCTGTTGGGTGCAGAAAGGGGCACAGACCAACCATAGATTCAAGTCAAGCACGCTGAGACTACCAGAGGCACCCAACCAGAGAAAGTCATTTTCTTACCCACACGATGCTTAAGGCTTAGGGTGACAAGGTGACACTCTCAATGACATGTATAAGATATATATATATATATACATGTATATATACACATATTTTTTACAGACATCTACTCTCTGTGTGCTTAAGAGCCCCCTTCTGCGTCTGCCTGGTTTTCCCTTCGATGCATCTCGGAGATGGTCGACAATTCCAATGTGAGCAAAGCACACGAGGCATCGCACCCCAGGGTTCAGGGTTTAGGGTTTGGGGTTTAGGGTTTGGGGTTTGGGGTTTGGGGTTTAGGGTTTGGGGTTTAGGGTTTGGGGTTTAGGGTCTTGGAAGTTGCTGCTGTTGAATGGGGAACTGAGGGCAGTTTAGGGACCAGAGTTTTTGCCTAGATAGGGCGGGCCATTGCAATTATTTGGGTAAGTTGCACCCCCCTTCAGGAATTGGCAGAAGTGCACGAAGTGGCAAAGTCACTGAAATGCATGACTTCTGTGTTGGCCACCAGCTCAGACTCTTTTTGTTGAGGCATAAGAAGCTGCTCTGCACATTATTTTCTCAGTTGAAGAGAGGGGGCCTCTCATGTCCAGCTGCGTGAGCACCAAGGATAGCAAATTAGGACGCCTTCAAGCCAAGTGCGCGCAAAGTTTGAAAGGCATTGTTGAAGCTTGGCAAGAAATGGTCGTGTGACACAACCTGTGCTCTGAAGTTCGGGGTGAGCATGCTGCTTCAACTTTTTCTGCTTAGCTGCCTGCAGCTTGTGCCCTGGAGTAGTCTTGAGAAGTAACCTGCCGGAAGTGTGGACTGGGTCTCAGAACACCCGAGCTCTGGCACCTTGCCTGTGCGTCTCAGGAAGACCTCACCAAATGTGTTCAGAAGCTGGAGGATGAAGTTAAGCAGGCCCGTTCACAGTTACGATGAAACCCCGAGGTGAGAAAGGCATCGTTTGTTACTCATGTAAAGATATGGCCAGTTCTCTACCTGATAATACGGACCACAAAAGGGACCATAATTTAGCGAAGTGACCATATGCACTCGCAGCATTTATACCAGCACTCATGGAGGGAGAGGCCGGGTCGATTTGCACGGGTTGGGACGAAGAAGCTCGCAACAAGATTTCTTGTCGTTTGTTGAAAGGAAGGAGGGAGTCGGAGAGGGAGTGCATCTCTCGAGTTGATGTGCCTGAGTGCAGGGTCCACTGGCCTTCCTTAACTTGAGAAAGAGAGAGTCCCTTCTGGGCCACCCACCACCGGAACCGACACCCGACTGGCCACAGTGGCACACCTGGACGAGCCCATGCCCGACCCAACGTCTGCCATGCCACCATGTGAACCAGCATCGGGACCGGCCCCACAAGGGTGCAGACGGAGCACACACCGAAACTGTCGGTGAAACCCCTGACTGTAAAGCCATGGAAGACTCATAGCAGGGCTTTTTTTGGTGTTTGGCCTGGCCTTCGCCTGGTAGCAGATGGAGGAGGCGGAGGAGGTGGAGAAGGCGGAGGAGGCGGAGGAGGCGGAGGAGGCGGAGGAAGCGGAGGAGGCGGAGGAGGCGGAGGAGGCGGAGGAGGCGGAGGAGGAGGAGGAGGCGGAGGAGAGAGAGAACACTCTTAGTTTCACACCGAGACCTGTAACGCACGCCCTTTTGGCCGGCCACTTTGGGGGTAAAACGTGCAGGAAAGCAAGAAGCAAGAGGGAGAGAAGCAGGGGTCCGGCCCAACCTTGTAACCTTCTTCCCTGAAGAGAGAAGAAGAGAGATGGATCAGTTGTAGGGCTTGCCACCCGGCGTTACATTACATGTGAGACTGCCGGTGGTTTTCAGAACGGGATCCACCCCGGAAGAATCTCAGATTTGGACATGTGTGAGCAAGATGAGGTCAATCCTCAGTTGTGAGGGTAACCAGTCTACAAGCGGGTAGGTTAAGTCGTACCTTCTGGTGCAAAGTCGTATCTCGGGCGCGTGCACACTGGGGATTCACGAGTCCAAGATTGGTCAGAACCCACTTGCACCCCCAAGCAGAAATCTCATTCACGCTGACAAAAATGTGCTCCCCTCCCAGGCGTGCGGTGACAAGTGCGTGTTTTGCATGTGTGTCGAGGGCATGCGTGTGCGGCGCGTGCACATTGGGGGAAAGGCTTCAACATATGTCTCTGTGATGCGACTTTACGCGGGGTGATGTGACTTCGCACGCAGCCGCGTGTCACTGGGGAGATGTGACTTCACACGCGAAGATGTGACTTAACCTACTCGCTTGTACGAAGAGTCTAGCTTTACAGCGCGCCCGAGTCATTTCGTGTCGCCCCCCCACTTGCACTAGTGGCCCGCTGAGCGCTGTTAGTGTGACTGTTCCAGTGTGCGGGCGAGCGGCTGTGTACAAGAAGGGCCCGATGTTGGCACCGACCCTCTTGCCCCGGTCAGACGACGAAGAAGAAGAAGAAGAAGGAGAAGAAGAAGAAGAAGCAGAAGAAGAAGAAGAAGAAGGAAAAGAAGAAGAAGAAGAAGAATAAGAAGTCGAAGAAGAAGAAGAATAGGAAGAAGAAGAAGAAGAAGAAGACGAGATGCATAGAAGATTTAGAAGACAGCTGGTAGCAGAAACAAATGAGAAAATCTGACGAGGAGACGGTATTGTCTTCTCAGCTCGCTGCGCTCACGTGCCCGCGCGCGCAAGGCCATTTCTGATGAAGCACCGCCCTCACCAAAGGATCCGAACGGCGGACACCAGATCCTTGGGCTTCGAAGCGCTGTGATCACAGAAGTTCGCCAAAGCAGATAGTTTCGGCCCTTACATGGCTCCTCGACATGTTACTCAGAAAGCTGTAGTTCCGGTGCAACCGCAACAGCCAAGGATTGCATTACCCGGAGTCAAGCATAGGAGCCGAGATTCGGAGGAGGAAGCGGCTGTCGAATCGGGGGAGCATGAGCATGGCACCACTACTTGCCACCACAGTAGCAGATCTGACAGTCAGCTCTTGCAAGTCGTTCACATGTTGTTTACTTGGAGCACGCTTGAGTCGGGAATGTTGTCGTGTCCATATGGCACACCAAGGTATTTTGCAAGCCCCCTTTAAAGCCCAAATGCATCTGCACGGAGGTTGGTTCGTGTTTTGTTGACATGGCAGCTCGATGCCCTATGCTGTTCCAGAATCAGGAGCATGCCCTCGACGACATTGTGGAAAGAGAGAGGTCTTTGGACCAAGAGCAACTCATGGTATCCGAAGGCGGTGCTTCCTCGCCGAAGGCGGTTCCTTGGATCTTAGTCTTAGCAGCCTTAGCATTGAGGGTCAGAGTGCGAACCAGAGTTAGCGACGGTGGAGGAATGCGTTGAAAACGAGCAGGTGGTCAATCGCTGGTTTGACAATACCATTGTGTCAAGTCCAAGTAGAAGGGCAGCCATCAGTAGCAGTGGGCTTTACCACCTTTTTGGGTCCTGCCGCTGGAGTGCGAGGCTGACGACGCAGCTCTGATACCCTTCAAAACACCGGCAGAAGTCTGCTTGGTAGATCCAAGTTGGACGAGCAAACTTGTCTGGGACATCTACGTGATGTGCTGGACTCAGCTGCACATGCCATCATGCCTGCAGTAGTATTGCGACGCAGGCTGGCCAAGATGTAGGGGTGTGAGGTCATCACTGCTGCCGTGCTATGCTTCATGACAGGCTCGTGGTGCTGATGGATGCCATGGTGCTGCCTTTCCAGCTGTCATTCAAGAACGGCCACTTGCCTTTCGCGGAGTTTGGTAAACCCAGTCTGCAAGTGTCGAGGCAAGGAGCACTCTTGCACGCCCCAAGAACACACAGTTTTCGCTCGCCATGATGTGCCCTAGGACTGAACCCGGATGGTTTTGACGACTTCTGGTTCTGGCTCACAACTATGACCTTCAGTGCCGACGCCCTCCTGCAAGTGTCGCACGTATGACCCACCTAAACTCCGGTCAACCCACGGGTGCATGCTTGATGCCTTGACTCAAAGGCGTCAGGCAACCACAGCTGTGCATTCCGCAAGGTGGCGCGCGCGTCGCGGTGGCGCGTCGCGGTGGCGCGGCGCTAGTCTTTCAACCCTGACATGGTGCATCAGTCTCCAACACGCATCTTGAGCATCGACCACGGGCCCTTCGGCCTTCAACGTGAGCATCATGAGCATCAGACGCATCCCACGACCAAGCCGGGCTCAGTGCCAGCTTGTGCTTGGCTTTCAGACCAGGGGTTCAAAGTCTCTTGAGTGCGGCCCTCGGGATGTTTCAGGCCAAGGCGTGCTGCGATCAACCCGTAGCGAGATTCAGGGCTGGAGTGCTGCCTTCATTCAGAACCCCAGTGCGGGTAGGTTGCAAGACTACGGAAGAGCAGTTGCAGGTTCCTCAGCTGGCAAAGACTCATAAGCATCGTGCGCTGGTCAAGGAAATGCCTTCGGGGCTCTGGACGCGATGCAAATGTGTCGCCCGCATGGCACGGCGCTGCGACAGCACGCGAAGCATCGCGAAGCGCAGTTCGCTGTGTAGGGGTCTTCAGATGGATGAAGATTGCAAACCGAAGAGCCCGAAACCTTGATGACCTTGGTTTCGTGCTTGTAGCAGTAGGCTGACATGGTGCGCGCTAGTGATTTGGCGTGGACGTGGCTTTTGCCTTTCCGTATATGAGGCATCACCCAAGACTGCCGCATGGCGTCCAGTTCCGGGAATTGAATGTCCGCCCATCTAGAGCAGCCAAGAGCTGAGGATATTCTCGCCAGCTTTAACACAGCCATCCCTCGTGGTGACGATGTTGACGTGGATGATGCCAAGGCCCACAGCTCACGATCTAGGGTGGATATGGGTTGATGTTGCCTCGCAGTCGCGATGAGCAAAGGGCGGTCTGGGGTTAGGGAAGGGTTTGGAAGCGCATGGGAAGTCGACTGCTGTGGCCCCTGCAAGGAGGCTCTCATTGTCGAACGACGGGTCATTGCCGTCACGTACCTCAGAGGTTGGTTCGTGCTCGACTTCGTGAGTACCGTACCCTGGAGCCGGATAGCCGCCCGACTTCACGCAACGCATTAAACGTGGCCCACACTGGGCACATTCTACTTGAGAGCAGGGTGCGGATGGGTTCTGCCTTCTCCATGTTTGCCGAGGTTGACAGCATGGTGGGACCTGGTGGTGGGCCCATGGTGACTGTGGCGAAACTTGCCAAAGTGTGTTCTGGCCAGCAATCCTGGACCTCGCGTGCAGGTTGTAGTCTGTTATAGTGATGCGTTGGAAAAACAGTGCATCAAGCCACCTAAGGTTGAAGTTCATTCGCATTATCCGTTTAATGAAGATGCTTCGCGCCAAGAAGCTCAAAGACATCTGGGAGCAAGTGGAAAGACGAATTGGTTCGGTTGCCATCGTGCAGGGCATGATGCTGATCCGAGTGCTGCTGGTTGTGGTGGGGATTTGCCACTGGAACGCCTGCCTTTTTTGGATTGTCGGGGCGACTGACAGCATTGTCACAGATTTCCTGCCCACGCCGAGAGCTGAGCCTTCTCCCTTGGGGAGACCTTGACACATGCAGATGTCCGGGAAGTTTCCTACTGTGGTAGCTATCTGACGGGACTTTGGCTGCTAGGTCCTTGAAAGAGCAGTTCGACAGTATGCCGCATTGGACGACCACCTCAAGGATATTCTTCCTCGCAAAAGTGCGCTTTCTTTTTCCGCTAGGAGGCCTCCGCAAGCTTTGCACTTGGCAGGAGCAACGCCCCGGATCTAGAAACCTGGAACTACGCAAGCAAGCCCATGCCCGGGCCACAGCCCTCTCTGAAGAGTGGGGGGGGGGGGGGGGGAAGGGGCATTTTGTTGGAGTTGTTCCTGTCCTGAAGGTTTGAGCAGTACATTTTCTGCTTCTACTGGACTCTCGGGGTCATGCGGACAATGCCCGCTGAAGTGACCCCAGTGAATGTCGTGGAGCGCGACTTGCCTGCTCTCTGCATCTCTTGCTGTAGTCTTAGCAGTGACACGAGACACTGCGCACGAAGCACCGCAGTCCCCAGCTGAGGCGTGTTTGTTCTCTGCTTTATGTTTTTCGCCTTATCTGCATTCGCGGTGTCGGTTGCCTCCCTTACGCAAGCCTACTTCAAAATCAGCTCCTTGGACTACATCAGCTCTTGTTGCCTTTTGATGGCAGGGGTCAGTGATCACTCAAGACCATTGCTGGCACCTGTAGCTGCTCGTCACACTACGTCCTGAAGCCTTAGCTCCTAAACGTGCATCCTCACCTCCTTGTGCCAGAGAGTCGAAACCTACAATTGCATGGCTTTTTCAAGGACACAGTTCGACTAGTGTACCAAAGCAAACAACAGAAGCACACCTCTCCTACGGCGAGGTGAGCGGGGCCGGAGCTTTAACGACGAGATGTTCGCCATCCGCATGCACCTCCACAAGCTTCGCATGGAGGAAACGTCCCAGCGGAAGATCAAGGACCCTTAGTGGGGTATGGTTGGTTCAGGCTCAAGCCTAGAATGTGCTGGAGACACGTGCCGTGCCAGCGGGGCTGTCTCAGGAATATCTCCACCACAAGTTCACACGAAGACGGATTATGGCCAAGGAGGCCAGACATTGTTATTGTTGAAAGCAGTCTGCCAGCCTGCCGGCCCAATCCAAACACACATTTCTGGGCCTGATCTCCACTTGAAGGATCTCCACTTGAAGTCCACGTAGCTCATACTTAGTCATAGAATATAAAATTAATATATAATACTTATATTGTACATAATAATATATATATATATATATATATATATATTTAATATATATAGTATATAAAATATAACATATAACATATAATATATAATATATAATGTATTATATATAACATATAACATATAATATATGATATATAATATATAATATACAATATATAATATATAATATATAATATGTTATAAGATATTATATACAATAAATAATATATAATACATAGTACTTCCGGGAGAACAGTTCTAAAGTTGGTCTGACCGGGTCCTCTTCTCGCAGCCTCGAGGCGAACCTTCTCAAGGAGCTTCCGCCAGCTCTGAAGGATGAGGTGGAGACTGCAAAAGTACTCCAGCAGGTGCACCACCTTCCATGCACCTTTTTTCGCATTTTGGGCATTTTGGGGGCTTGCGAATCACGGGGGGGGGGGGGACCTGGGATATGACGAGCCCCGAATAGTAGGATCCTCTGGTCAAGAAGGACCCTAATAAGGTACCTCCTAACATCTTCAGCCCCCATGCGTGTCCCTGGGAGCCACGACGGTCCAGCAGACGTGAAGAAAAGCACGAGCACATTGATTTTGGCGTGGCAGAGCAAAGACTAAGGCATGTCAGCCTTGTCCAAGGACGCGGTCAAGCAGGTCTGCAAGGGTTTCTCGGAATGGAGCAGGCAGATTTCGATCAAGTTGTCATTTTCGCTGCTGTTGAGGCGGAACTGGGTGTTATTTATCATGTTTGTTTTGCTTGTTTTCCCCTCACTCCTTCCTTGTTCTAGATTCTCAGTGGTGTCTTCTTGACGCGAAGGGGTTTTCCGTTCGTCTCGCTGTTTTTCGCTTCCTCCATCATATGGTGAGTTCTCCAAATGATGGTCCCTTTTTGAGTACCCTAAAAGGGGCCACCTCATAATAGGTAAGCAGGAGACCATAATTCAGAGAAGTGACCAGACTTCCCCGATCCGTTATTCTCGTCCCCACTTTCCTCAATCCCACACCACCACCTGCACATCCCTCAGGGAGCCCTTGACCCCTTGGTTAAGGAATATACCCGCAAAATGCCGTACAAAATGGAACCGGAACATGATTATTGGTGGTATACAGGGCTCTCTGTGCAAGCCACCCACACCCCCACGCCACCAACACCATTCCAGTCTGAGCAGAAGGTGTTTAGGGTTTAGGAGTTTAGGAAAAAGGGCTTAGGGTTTAGGGTGTATATTTGCGGGCTTGAGCCAACAAAACGGTGCCAGCATGGGCAAAAAAAAACTTGCAGGAGCACCGAGTAGAAGAGCAAATCGCAGTCCAGTGAGGCGTTCGCCCAGCCAAGGTGCAGAATTCCTTGACATCTTGCCGGGCGAACATCTCGTCAACGCTGGAGATGAAGCACCCTCAGTTCGTGGGAACTACCAGTATATGGCAGTTCGTGGGAACTACACCAGTATATGGCAGTTCGTGGGAACATGTGGGAACTACCAGTATGTGGCAGTGCATCAAAGCCTCATAGCCGAGGTCGCAACCTGTGCTTGGATCGTCTGCTCGGGGACACTTGACTGACCAAGTCACCCTAATCAGGGTTTAGGGTTTAGGGTTTAGGGTTTAGGGGGGCTTGCAGGGCGGCCTTGGCTCAGAGGGGATGTTATCGAGGCGGGCGAAGTCTCTTGGAAAAGGGTTTAGGGTTTAGGGTTTTTGCAAGGAGTCCAGTTGCAAAAAGGGTTTTTGCAGAGAGGTCCCAGTAAACCATGCGCCGAGTGACTTCATGTCAGCCGTGCGGGAGCGGAACAAAAAACCCCTGAACAGCAGCTGCACGAAGCCCCCAGCAACCCGCTCATCTTGAGGACCATCAAAGTGGAGGATGCCCAGGGCCCGAAGCCCAGTGATGTCTATAAGAACACAGTAATATAGTCGTAGTAGAAATACAATTATATACAACTGTAAGTATATTAAGCGAGTAATTGTAAACGCTTGCGCGCGCGCCGCCTCGGCATCCGGGCATTTGCGGAGGCACAGAATCCTGTGTCTCCGCCCCTGCCACACCCTGGAGTTGCTCACCAGGTTTGTGCCGTCTGGTGTGCGATGCCCGCGAGCGATCGCCGTTGTCTGCCGGCCCACGGACAGGAAAGGAGGTTTCTGGGAAGGGCCTCAACAAAGGGGAGGGGGGGGGGGTTCCAGAGAAGGGTCTCAGTGGTCCCAGGGAGGTATCAGGGGGTTCCCAGGTGCCAGGGCGTTTTAGAGGGGTCCCAGACTTTTTGAGCGCCCGGGTGCGACACATTATTTGGGGGTTCGGGGGGAAGGAGCTGCTTGTTCCAAACGCTTCTCGGCAGGAAGCCCAGGCGAATATCATAATGTCAAAATAAAGCGATATCTATTTTTTATCTACAAACATATAAATAAAGAAAATCATGGAAACCATGGTAGAGCTGCGCGCACGTGATTGTTTTCGTTGCAGGGCAGAAATGCGTCGTGGAGGGTGACCCGCCAGTGATCAATGGAGAATGCCTTCTCACAGAGGACAGCTTGTCACACACAGAGTGCAGTTCCGCGCAGCCATTGCTGAAATTGCTAGACCTTGTTGCTTACAAAATCCATGGAACAGGAACCGCATCGATCACCCACCACTGTCACAACCACGAGCACCTGCCACGAGATTGCACGCAGCGTTGAGTTGTCGCAGATCATTTTTTTGACAGAAAACTACCCATGCTGATCAGGTGAGCTTTACAAGCTAGAGAAGACGAAGTTCTTCGAAATTGCAGCCCACCATCTGACACTCCTCGCAAATTTATTGTTCATGTCTCAAAAGCTTGTGTTCCGCGGCACAGATGGATGCAACTTGGGAGGGGGGGGGGGGGGCAGGACAGCCCAGTAATTCCAAGTTTTGCCAGGAAGCCAAAAGAGTTCAAAATGCGACGTCAGCATTCCGGGCCGACTGCGATCAATGTCATCTACTCAGTATTTTTCCACGTTGACCACTGACCTGAACCCCAAAAAGCAACATCATGCCGGCACAAGATGCAATGTTTGCAAAAACCGTGGTTGGCGGCATTGAGGTGGAAGAAGCGACAGACCGGGTCACAACGCCTCATGCCTCGGCTGGCGCAGCAGCTGCAATCTCAGCTGGCTAAGAGTTTTTGGTTTCACGTTCGATGAAGCGGCCAAGGCCGCCATAGGGTTTGGGCATGCTTCACATATCCCCACATGGCCTGCGCAACACGCGCGTGTCAAAGTGCCTGGGGCTCGAGGGATGCTCTCCAGGCGCAAGGCAAGCGCATGTGGTTCCATTTGCAAAAGTCGTTGTAAGTTTCCACAGCTTGTGTTGGTTGTGCATGGCCATGTGGAGCATGCACGCAGAACTGCTCTGAACATCAGCTTGAATCCGGATCAGCCCTCTTCCGCAGTCGTCGCATTCTAAAACGTCGTGCAGTATAACCGTACAACATCTTACAACGTTAGTTACCACTTGTCGACTTGCTACGGTGGAAGATAGGTTCGCCAGTTGCAAGCAGCCGCGGGTAGTGGGAGATTCTTAAAGCTTTCAGCCTTGAGTTTGGAACATATAGCACACCGCGGCTTGCAACTGACAGTGCGCACGGCAGAAGTGGCAGGAACAAAGCGATTCTTGCCCAACCATGCTTGTGCTGGCGTGCAAATCAACAAGTTGAGCCGATTGTCAGGATGTCGGATGTTGAGTTTTATGAAGGGGCAACCTCAGCATCGTTTTGGCAAGCAGCTCACTTGAAACGTGCGTGTGACAATCACACAGACACAATCATGGCCGACTTTTTCACCATCGCAACTTGATCTTTTGGCTCATTAGAATGAGCCGGCTTACCCGCCATGAATCGACGCTGGCAGCTTCAGTTCAACAATGACATGATGATGTAGGTGTAAGGTCCAGGTAGCAGTTTTGTATCAGTCAGCTGTGTTGCCCGATGCCCGGGATGCCGTTCAACTCGTCATTCTCGGACATGCAGCAGGGACTTGCAATGAATGCGTTTTTACAGCGGTTGTTGATTCCTGACAAAGTAGTGAAGTGAAGCTGTGACAAAAAGGAGAACGTGTTGTCTTCAGTTGTTCTGCGACTCGGTGCAAGCAGAGAAGCAAAGGATGGTGGCAAGACCCGTTCCGGTTAGAAAGTCAGTGTCGCAGGCGTTGTTCGATTTCCTTCCCGTCAAGACGGCAGACGGCCAACAGGCCTTCCTTCCTCGGCCTGGAGGCCATCGGAATTGTGCTTTAGGGATTTGGTGTGTAACATGTCCGACGTCAGCAACTCTCCATGTCCGATTTCAATGATCAAGATATGGTATATAATATATTGTATACAGTTTATCATATATAGTATACATAGTATGTAGTAGATAATGTATATTAGTAGAATGTGTAGTGCATTTTTGTCTCAAAGACGATCCTTGCACCTCCGAGTCCGAAGGCTCAAGTTCCTTTGTTGCGCAGCCTGAAGCGGCCAAACGTTTCTCGCTGCATCATGTTTAAGAAGCTTACCAAGTTCCTGGCACTCCTGGCAGCGGTCCATCAGGCCGCTGCGCAGGAGGAGGGTCTCAAAGCTGATGCTGAGTCAGCTCTGGAGACGGCGCCGGAAGTCGAAGCGACGCCAGTCATTCCACCCACGGTGCCAGTTTCCCCTCCAAAAGCTGCAAAAGTGTCACCGCCGCCGGCCCCTCCTGTCCAGCCGGTTGTGAGCGCAGCCCGCCGATTGGAAGAGGAAAGGGCGGTGGCAAAAGAGCAGCTCAACCGCGACTTCTTGGATGCCTGCCGCAAGTTCGACAAGGACACAGTTGAAGCGCTGCTTCGGCAAGGCCGGGCCAAAAAGTAGGGATGGCCCGCTCAAGAAGAAGCCAGCCACAGTTTCAACAAACAAGGCAACTAGAGAGAAACAAACAGGAACCATGCCGTTGTTTGCAGGTGCAAACATTGATGATGTGCCTCGGCACGAATGAAGGTAGGCCGCATGACGTGCATGAAGGCCGCGTGAAGTGACAGATGCCGCATTGTCCTCAGATGTTCGTTGCATGCAGTCGTTCCGGAAGTTGAGCAAGGTATCAGCGAGTGGGCCGCGCTGGTCCGCGCTCGCAGAGGCTGCCCTGAGCTCAGAGATGCTCGTTCGACTCGCGATGATAGCGCTCGCCAGATCTTCGTTCAGCAGCCCCACATGCCTTGGAGGGAATTATTGATCAAGGGGCATTTGTGAAGGCTCCAGGTCAAACCGCCATGCCATGCAATGCCAGTAGCTGATTACTATTACAGTTTCCCAGGTCCCATGCACTTTCCTCATCTTCCAGTAGGCTTCTTCAACTTTGGGATTGTTGACCCAGGCGGTGAACCGGAACTCGGACCTGGCATTCTATCTTTTGGGCAAAAGAGCCAGCCCTGATGTGGAAGACAACCGTGGGCGCACTCCTCTTTTCCATGCGGCGACATGGCATCAATCTATTGTTAACGGCATGCTGGCTAAGAGCGGTGTCGGGTTCATATGGCTTCGCACGACAAGATGTGCAGATCGTTCGCACAGTGTAAATTGCATATGAGAATACTTATATCTATATATCTATGTAAACGCACACACATTTGTTATATGTTCGGTATTAGTTATGACCTAGTTCAAATTCGACAATAGATTTTGCAATGACATATGATGTATGATGTATGATGTATGATGTATGATGTATGATGTATGATGTATGATGTATGATGTATAATGTATGATGTATGATGTATGATATATGATATATGATATATGATGATCACCTGTGGTTATATGATTATATGATTACATGATTATATGATTATATGATGATATGATGATATGATGATATGATGATAGGATGATATGATGATATGATGATATGATGATATGATGATATGATGATGTGATGATGTGATGATGTGATGATGTGATGATGTGATGATGTGATGATATGATGATATGATGATATGATGATATGTTACAGATTATACTAGAAATACACACGCATATATTTTTGTATGTATATGTACAGTTGTATTTTACATTATATCATTTAACTCATAGTATATAGTGTATACGGCATGCTTTATTGGAATCGTTATAGCTAGAAATATAACTATAAATGTAGCTAGAAATATAAATATACATATAAATATAAATATCAGTATAAACTGAAATACGAGTAGAAATATACGTATCAATATTAATACCAATATCAATATATATATATATGCATATACATATGTGTATTGTTATTCATTTTTCTTTGCATGCTGTGCATCACCTATTTGTATATGACATTGAAATGTTCTTTGCTATATGTGCTATATATTGATATATATTTCTATATGGCATATCACGCCTTCTGCTCTGACCGTTTATTCTGTATCTTGTATTCTATACATTTCATACGTTATAAAGTATGGTGATATAACTGAATACTTTTCATGATCTACCGCATCGTTTAGTTGGAGATGGCGAGTTTGATGTGCAGCTTCAGGTGCGCTACAACCTGGGCAGCGTGGTCACTGAAATGCTCAGGACAGCCAAGAACCTCGGGCCGGGACCCATGCGTGATACCGTAATGCTGCAGTTCCGGCACATGGTTTCTCAAGCTCCCACGAACTTCGATTTTTACAGACATTTGCTGTTGGCAGTGCTTCGGATGGCGATGGTGTGGACATGCTGACGCGGGCGGTCCCTATCTTACTCAGCTCTGTTGGCTTGTTGCTTGTGAGCGCATCTCCCTGAATTGCATGAGCTCGATGAATCGCGGGAACGAATGGAGGGCCCTAATGGCAGTTGCGCATCGAAGGTGTGGCAGGAGCAGACTGACATTGCGAGGATGCTGAAAACAGCTGGTGCGACGTCCGCTAGAGCAACAAAAGCTGCCTCATGCCCGAACTTAGAGCAGTGCGTTTGATCGTTGCCCCAAACGTACCAAACAAACGCGGTTTTTTTGCTGCATGTTCTGGCTAGAAGCAGGCTGGTGACTCCAAGAACGCAGAGATCCGGAGGATTTTTGGACACGGCGACGTCATTCCTGCGCCAGCAGTCGCGCCAACGCCTGTGGTAACACCAGTGGCGTCGCCTACGCCCCCGTGACTTGCTGCAATATCGGAAGATATCAGCAGCATGCGCTGGGAGGGTAGCAGGGTGGGGAGCTGCAAATATCCACCCGAAGTATGGCAGAGTGGCAAAGTAAGTTTTTCCTGCGGCGCAAAGGTCCCTGTATGCGGGTGCATAGTTGGCTCATGGACTGCTTGCACCAGGCCTGTCTTCGGCAGCCTTGCTCTTGAAAGAGTGTAGTTGTGTGCATGAACTGGGAAGGAGAATCCGTGTAGAGCTGTGAGAAAGACTGTGAGAGAGGCTGTGAGAGGTGAATGCCATGAGCCCTTGCAGTAAGAGCTTCCACGTCTTCAACGGAGCTCCTGAGTTGCGGCAGCCGGTACATGCGGGCGCGGAACCTCTCGTCCGACTTCTCACTTTTCGTGGACCTGGTGTTGATCTCGAGTTCTATGGTCAGGTCTTGCACTGGGACAACATGTGGAATCCATTCTCATTTTTGAGACCTGTTTCCGCAGGTCCACGTTTGCGCACGTGTGTGAGTTAGAGAATTCGTGCTTGGATTTCAAGAAAACCTTGCACATCCGTGCACAAAAGTGCGACACTCATGCCTGGTCGCCTGGAACTGCAACTGTCCCTAAGAGCCAACATGTGCGACCCTTGGCCCTAATAATGGGATTTTTGGGGTTTAAGGTTTAGGGTATTAAACCCACCCTAAACCCTAAACCCTAAACTCTAAACCCTAAACCCTAATCCCTAAACCCTAAACCCTAAACCCTAAACCCTAAACCCTAAACCCACAATCGGGACCTGGTCGACTTGTTGTCGTGGGGTAGGGGAAGGGGCACCGCGAAACTTTGCGACTGGCAGGCGCGCCTTTTAATGTGTGCCTGGCTGCGAGGAGGCCTTGGGGTTTAGGGTTTAGGGTTCAGGGTTCAGGGTTCAGGGTTCAGGGTTCAGGGTTCAGGGCTGTGAAACGATGCACTCTGATGATCCTTCCTACGGGTGTGATTTTAAAGGGCTTTGAGTTTTCGGCTTTCGTGTAGAGCCCTGCAAAATGGATTCCTTGTGCAAAGCTTCAAACGGTAGGTTTCGGGGTCTAAGGTATGGGGTTAACAGGTGACTTTAGGTGTTACTATGGCGGAGCATGTCCTTTTGAAGGAACCCAAAGAGCCCAATACCCCTTAAGTAAGGAATGCATCCTTAAGATGGTTCAAAGGTTCTAAGGTTCTATTGTTCACTATTTAAGAGGTCTACAGGGCTCTTCTTGAATCTGATAGAGCGGGATGCGCTTCATGCTTCATGGAGGCTTGGTGTCCATGTCAGCTACCTTGGAGCTCTCTCTACCGACATGTTCGGCGAGGCAAGTGCACAGAAAGCATGAAGCAATGGCCAGGGTTTTTAGGGTTTAGGGTTTAGGGTTCAGGCTTCAGGCTTTAGGGTTTAGGGCTTATCGGGGTTTATATGCGCCAGCATAGGCGCCCCCCCCCCCCCCCCCTCCACCACCCTGTGGTTCATGGTGGGTTTTGGGTTCTCCGCCCCCCGCTGTGGTTCATGGTCTGTGGTTCATGGCTTGAGGGTTTAGGGTGAGGCTGTAGAGTTCAGGATTTTCACTCTGAGGCCCTTGGTCCATTGGTTCACGGTGGGTTTAGATTTAGGGTTCAAGGTTTGGTGGGTTTACGGTTTCCTCTCTTCATGTGGTTCATGCTGGGTTTGGTTCAGGGTTAAAGCCAGGTTTCGGGTTTACCCTTCTCCCCCCTCTGGTTCATTGGTGGGTTGAGGTTTTAGGGCTTATGGTTCAGGGTTTGGGGTTTAGGCTGAGGGTTTGTCTCTCCCCCCCCTGTGGTCCGTGGTGTTTTTAGGGTTAACGGGCAGGGTTTGGGGGGATACCATTGGGGGAGGTGTCGACTACGCGGAACGCGGGCGCACATAGGGTTTACCGGGTTTATAGGGTTTCGAGGGTTTAGAGTTTAGAGGTTTATAGGGTTTATAGGGTTTAGGGTCTTGGGGATCCATGCCGCAAGAAACCCTCAACGGCACCAAGACCTCAAAACCTAAAACCGCAAACCCTTTTTGCCCTGCAAGATCCTCAGCTCCGATCACCGTGCAAACAATATAAACCTAAATCCCCAAGCCACGAGACCAACTGAAGCCCTAAACCCGAAACCCTGGGCGCTTCACAGAGAAACCTCGAGACAGTGTCTACATCGCCTGGCTTGTCCCAGTGTGAGCGATTACACCCCACAAACCCAACCAGTAGCCCAGAAAGCCTACCCTTTCTAGGGGGCTTCTTGCTCTGATTTCATCTGATTTCCTTACATATCCCCTTAAACAGGAAGGTTGTTTGGGCCAGAGGTGAACCCTACTTGCCAGGAGCTGTATAAAACGCTGGACGCCGAGCAGGTCGACCTTACCCTAGCCCGGGCCTCTGTGGACTCCAAGTTAGGGTTTAGGGTTTAGGGTTTGGGGTTTGGAGTTTAGGGTTTAGAGGGTTAAATACCGCCTGAAATACCATTTACAGGAACCCTAGATTCCCATCATCATGGTGCACTTCTCTAGGCCTTATAAGTAAGGTCCAGGTAGGCTTTAGGCTTTTGCGGCTTTGAGGTGCGCTTGCCTAGGGTTAGGAAGCTCGCATAAAGACACTGCGCACGACAAGATTGCGCGAGTCGCACATGTCGGGGAGGTTGCATGCCCAAAGAGCCCCATACCACTTAAAATAGGGAATAGACCTTAAGTCACATTAAGGCTCGCTATATGATTTAAGGCATATTCCTTTTAAT